GTTTAAGACGAGCTTACACATACATCTAGCCCTTGTGGTTGCGTAGGTGACTATGCTTGTGGTTGTTTGGAATTTACTAACCTTGTAAATCCCCATGTCTGCCGAATCTGTTGGTTTGATGGAAAAGGGCTTGGGATTACAATACCCTCGAAACAGAAACTGTCTCATTCAGAACCTGAGTTACAGTCCCAGGTCGAGACCCAAGTTGTTACCTCAAAAGTCTGCCTTTCAAAGAGGAACCTCTCGGCTATTCGTTTACTGACCAGCGGGACTGCTTGGACCGGTTACTAGCCTCTGCAGAACGTGTATGTATGATTCAAAGGGAAAGCTAGAAAACGATTCCAGTGGACCGTGTTCAGTGATGTCTTCGCACCAGTTTAATAGTCCGTGAACATTATACACCATATTTTCAACTCCGAAAATGGTCTGAAAATTACAAACGAACTTATTAAGCATCGCTGTTATACTATCTAGATGGTCGTAGTAATGGAGTGGGTGACTGAGTAGGTAAGTGCTCAAAAATAAATCCATGAAATGGTCATATAAAAGGAGGGTAAAAGATCTTTTAACTGTGCCACACCTAAGTACAAGAGGACCAGGCGATATTCTGTCGCTTTCCTCCGATCGGTTTCTGCCAACTATCGTCATTTACGTTGAAATTCACATGGTGTGGTTGCATGGTAGCTGCTTAACCGAGCGTTAATTTGGTTTATTATATGGCTATTCATACCATCCTTCCTTGATGAAGCAAGGCGTTTCCACAATCCAAGCATTTTTCGAACAACCCCTAGCAATAACATATACATAGGTTCCAGTGGGAAGGCCTCAATCATATCAGTACTTAGTTTCTCAAATGGAGACTTTTCGCGGTGATGATACGTGTCCGTTTGAGTTCGAAAGCAACGGTCAGTTCTAAGAGTATCAGGTATTGAGGGAAAAGACGTACGACTAAGTTCCAACCTACATTTAGCTAAGCATTTGTCACAACCCTGTTTAGAATTATGTCCAGAAATCCGCTTAACCAAAGACCTAGCTGGGGTATCGCAAATAACACTTTTCAGTGCTACTGATACGGTCAGACCGTTGCTTATTTGAAGCCCAGAATCACAAAGCGATTGGAGTTCTATAACTGTATCACTCAAGAACTTATGAACGTCTACTGCTTTTACAAGGACCTGAATAGATACCTACTGCAAATACATCACTAACCTTAGGGGCTCTTAGTCTTCCCAGTATTGTCCACATCTGGAAGTAGGAGTTCATGAATAGTTACGTTCAACTGTAACACCAGAGGTTTTTGGGACCAAGTTACTTTCTCCTTCCTTAACTGATGACGAAGACCAACGTGAACATATGTACCAGATCCTATTAATTTCTTTAACTAGTGACTTGGTGTTCTCACCAATGTTTGCGGATCTACTGGAAGTTAGGGGTGAAATGGGCGAAGCTCTTCGAGCCCAATACGTGCATTTAAGTAACGGTCTGACCATTAGTGTCGAAACCTGTTATCAGTAAGTTACCATTTTCATTTTATCACGTGCGAAGACGTCGCGACAGATTGAAAGTGAGAGAGAAAAGACCGAAGAGAGGGAAAGTGGTAAGCTTAATGTGTTCCACAATACAATTCCCATAGGTTACTAAATTGCCTGAAGGTGAGGAGGTGGTCTCTATATTTGTCTCAAAGTATGCGAAGAGCACTCGTCTACCCAGTTCGCCAGAGAGCGTCAACGAAATGGAATGAAGATGAACAGAATGTTATGTACCTTAATTGTTAGAAGATAAGATTAATTTTACATTTACGTATTGTACATGGGTTTCGGTAAATGGGAAACGTGTTTCCACACTTCGGACCTTTCGGGGGAAGACTTCGGGTGCACTTTGGAACATTCGGGTAGAAGGTTAAGAACTTTCGGGGAATATCGTGCATCGCCCTATACACGCCCGAAGTATAATTTTCGTGTTTTTGCCCAAAACTTACTAAGTGCGCCTGAAGTAAATGCTGGTTTGGAGTTTCTAAACATTTCCTTCGGGACTGAAAAGTTGCAAAGTGCGCCCATATCGTATGCCATGCTCTTGAAGTTCGCAAATCGTAGACAGTGTGCCCCAGGTTATGGAATAACCCATATCGATGTTTCTAAGAAGCCGTATTTGGTAGTATTATTATATCGTTATCATATATCGTTCACGTTTCATTGCTGCATGTTTTCGTGTATCAGAAATCAATGAAATGGAAACGGCCAACGGAAATAAACGAAAGATTTAGTAGACACCCGAAATTCGGTAAGGCGCCCGAAGTTGCTTTGGGCTAAAACCCGAAAGTTACAAAGTGTGTCTAGAGTAAATGCTGGCTGACGTCAGCTCATCAGATGACTCAGTTTCAATTCGTAAGTATATTCATAATTGTGCACATCGCAGTCAAATGGAATTATATACTCCCGATCCCAGTAACAAGCATCGAAGCTATTTATGCATCCAACTGATTTCAAAGGATTGTTCAGTTAATGCCACGAACACACTTCGGGATACTGATTTGTCAGAATGGGCTAGCGAATGCCGAAATCGATGTACTGATTTGTGTTGATAAAATCTCGTCAGATATTACAATTACAAATTATTCAGCATATTCATTTGATACCAATATAGTTAGTCCATTTCGAGGACATAAATTGGAGGATTTCTTTACATTAAGAAACCCTCGCTTGGAATATTCCATCTATCAAAACCAGACTTTTGCAGCACTCCTCTAGTTGTACACACTTGACTGCCGTGCAGTCAACATACCTCTCAACTGAAAAAACCTGCATTATTCCTTCGTATCCACCAATCTACCTCCTGTCAGTGGTTCTTGGTTGTTTCAACTGCCTTAGCTTTCGGTTCTTTGTGGAGGTCATTCCCCAGGAAGCATATTTCCTGGTTCTACATACTCATCTGGAGCTTACGGTTAAACTCGTTAGCCAAGTGCAGAGGACTAAATGACAAGTGTCTTGAGATAAACCAACATAAATGGTTTTCCTCTATGTATTCTGTCCTTCTGCTGCATTCAGTCCTTTACCAGTTTCCGGTGTATGTTTTACTGTTCGGAGCTGTGGCTCATTGTTTTAAGAAGTTAACTTTCAACCGAAAGGTCACGGGTTCGAGCTTTACTCCACCTACGGAAGTCTAGTCAGCCAGGTAGTATCACCAACCCTCAACAGGTGTGACTCACTGCACGAATGTGCACTAGGTTGCTGAGTGCATTTTGATTTCGACTGGATTTTTTTGTTACGTATGCATGGTTAAGGAAAGCAAGTCAGTATCCTATAAGAAATCTTTGCATTTAGTAATATTCTGAAGACTCAGTCTCTCTGTTCAGATATCAACAAAAGGTGTGAATGCTACGTCGGTCAACATCAGTATGAAGTCCGGTATTACTGAGTAACGGTTAATTTTCCGCAGCTGTCATCGGCACATCCAACTACAAAGCAACAAGACGATAAACAAGCATAATTAATAAAATCGGAAGTCGTAGAAAGACATAAAAAGCGGATAAAGTAAATAACGAAGTGTGATATGTATGTATGTGCACCAATGAGACCCGCTTATAACCATATCATCTAGTCTCTAATCATTGGTTTTGACTTTCGTGCGGTTCAACCTAGTAGCCTACATTTCCCTACACGGCTCAAACTTACACCCATAGGCTTCATAAACTGATACCATATTTTAGTCTAGCCATTTTCAGCTTCCTTATCTAGCATAAACTTACATTTAGCTCAAATAGTGAATCGGGGTAAACGAAGGGAAGAAGAATAGACGCACTCAGCCACCTTGTGCACACTCGTGTTGTAGGCAGTGAGCCACACCTATTGTTTTACTGCTGGTGATACTACCTGGCTGCCTATACCTCACTAGGCGAAGTGGGCCTCCAACCTGTAACCTATTGGTTGGTAGTCATCTACATAAACCACTGAGCCACAGGTAAATGTTGACTAAATTGGATAACACTTGTCCCAGCCACAATCTCATCAACTGACGTATCTCTTCAGTGACTACGCATAACCTCTGTATTAGTACTATGTACAGGTGTATTTTTTCGCTAGTTAACTATATTTTTGAGATTTTTAAATCCCTCAAGCTCGAATTATGTGTCTGCGTCAAATAAACTGTAATGGAGTTAGTTTTTAATCTGTGTTTACCTCTTGTATGTGTTGACTTTTTCCTATTAGATGTTGTATCTATGCACTATTTATTGATAACGTTTCTGTGAACTATAAAAATATGTAAAAATGCTAAAGCTGCAATCAACTTATGAATTACTGCCATTGAGTGAACGTTTCCTTCAGTAGCGAAGGTTGGAAAGAAAGTTCTTTACTTGGCGATTTTCTTGTGTTATCAGGTAGGGATTCGTATAAAATAATGTGGGTTACGGTAAAGATAGATAGTGGCTAGCAGCGGAATCCATGGTGCGCATTTCGTCCAACTTGCGACTCGTCAGCTGGATGTGCCTGCCTCCCAGTGAGTGATGTTGTCCCCACCGGGATTCGAACTCGACAGGGATTGCTTCTGACGCCAAAGCGTTGTCCACTACACCACCGAGCGCATCCCAGATTCCACTTCTAGCCACTATCCATCTTTACTATAATTAAAACAGGTATTATCAAGACATCCGCACGGGAGCCCATCTGCCAATAGAGACCGGTCAATTTGGTCCAATCGACGATGGTATGATGCAAGCAATTATACTAATGTAGGTTTTGGTTTTGAGCCATATCTCACATCCATAAACTAGGACAAAGCAAACTGCTACATAGATCACTGAACCCTTATTAGACAATGATGAGATGTCCTACTAATACCACTGGCCTGATTTTTCGTATATGTGTGAATATTTCTTCGGCCAAATAAGTGAAGTACATTAATTGACGTATGAGCATTCAGTTGTGAAAAGAGAGAATATTTTATCCTTTTTGAAATGTTTATTCGTTTTGTTGACTATACTGTAATTCTGTTTATTTTTAGCAATGGAATTCTTCCTCAAACGGGTACCTGCATTCAGTCGAGCATTAGGGGATTTTGATTCTGATAATGATGATGATAATGATAATAATGACGACATGCTTGATGAAGAGTTGAACGCTAGTGATGCTTCTTTATTATTGACAAATGAACAAGATGAAGAGCTGAGCGCTGATCAAGTGTTTAGAAATTATTCATCGACATCACATGTTATCATTACTATTGGGCCGTTGATGAGTGCCTTCATAATTCTTAGCTTAAATTTAATACATAAAAGTTTATTTGTCGTTAAAGCATCCTATAAGAAGACCTATTTACTATTCACAAGCTACCTTATTCCAGATTGTGATACTTTGATTATATGCATCGAATATGAACCAAGAAACATATCTTTTGAACAAAAGCATATTTTTTGTCAATATTTGACCAATACTTTCCACCAAAATAATTTGAATGCGGATAATAAACATCATGTCAAAGATATCAACATACTGTGTAGTCGTTCAGTGAATCATTTTCTTTCAAAATCAAAAGTTTCTACACCATTTATACGATGCATATCAACGTATACAACTTTGAAAGATTGTCAATTCCCAATATTAGAGCAACCAAATATTCTAACAGGTTTACCAGCTGAAGCATTGACTTGGTTTTATTTCAATTCATTACCAGCTAATTTATATACTGTATTCTATTTGCCACATGTTGGTGTATGTGAATGGTCGGCAGTAAAAGAAATATTCAATTTTTTATTGTCAGTAAATATTGGAATTATACCTAAACGATTGTCACATAAGAATGAATGGGATAAGAATTTATTGAAAGAGGAACTTGTCGATATATGCATTACTACAGTGTGCAATAGTGAACGCGCAAAAACAGATCAAATGTATACTTGAGCCGTATTTGTATATTTAATCGGATTTTTATATTTTCATGCTTGAAGACTGATTTAATAATATTTTCAAGTTTGATATGAAATAGAGTTTGAAAGAAACACTGTATCATAGATTTGATATGTATATATAACTTGGATGAATAACTTGTTGTGAACGAACAAAGAGTTTGGTGGAGTATCGGGTTAGTTTAATTAAATTATCAGCCCATTCTGAAGGCGCTGACAACTTGAGCCGATGCATTTTTGTGTAAGGTTCTACATTAATTTTGTCAGTCATTCAGTCTATTCATTGTTTGCATGATATGACTTTGAAATGATCGAATAGCTTGATAAACCAGTAAACAAAAGCTGAAGTGCGTAAGGCAAATGTTATCCTTCCGTCACAACCGCCTGTTTCTTACACGTGTACTGCACAACAATCCGGTCTGTTCTACCGTATGGCTGTGAAACATGGCTATTGAAGGTGGAAGACATGAGAAGGCTTCAAGTGTTTGACCATCATTGTCTTCGTAGTATATGCCGCAGTCCATGGTGTCACCACGTGAGTAATGCAGAAGTCAGAAGCAGAGTTCTAGGGTGAAAAGGTAAATCAGTTGACGAGGTTATGAACCTTCATTGACTGAGATGGTTGGGACACGTGTTACGTATGCCTAGTCACCGATTGCCTCATCACACAATGTTGGCCGAAGTAGGTCCAGGTTGGAAAAAGGCCCGAGGTGGTCAGACTAAAACATGGCACCATTGTATGATGTCTTTGACTGTTGGTTTGAGCCATGTGGGGTGGTGCAGACTAGTCAGTTGGGGTCTGCGGGACAAGAAGAACAAGAGGTTGGAGACTCTAGGCGATATGGCTGAGAACCGATGTCATCGGCGCAGATGTATACACACATTATCCTCATCTTAACGACGCTATATCGAATCTCATCATCTTGCCATTCTTTCTTCTCGTACTTTATATTTCTTTTGACTGAATTTTCTTATCTTCATCTTGCGCCTCACTGTCTTTTTACTTGATGTACTGTTATGAAGTGTGGCAACTCAGACCGTTACGCAGGAATGCCTGGTCCTATGTTGATGGTGATGATACACGATTTCGGGTTAAATATAAATAGAATAGGAATGTCTAGGGATGCTTACTGTTGTTTTGAGTTGCTTGGAGGGCTGTCAGTCGTTTGGTTAGAGTCTAGGAAGTAGTAGAAGTCGATCATAAGATGGTCCTAAACCGATGGCAGTAGCGCAAAAGTATCTGCTCTGAAGTGAATAAGAGGTCATAAATCTTCTGATTACTTTTGAACTGTAAAATTATCATAATTGTATAATAGATCAGATGAATGACAGTAGTTGTCATCAAGCCTGGTTATGAGTTGTCGTCGGCTAATAGTCCCACTGAAAGTTCCTACTACGTGCTTATGATATGACACCTATCAACAAACAAATTGCTCTTCATAGGAAAGCCATAAAACTCACCTGCGAATGAATTGTGGGAAGTGTGATAGCTAGGTTTTCGACAGTCTGCGTAACCATGTCACCTTGGCGTGATTATCCAGATGTTATTCAAAAACGAAACACCTTTTCCTTCATAATTTCAAATACTAAAAGGTTTAATTCAAAACGTTCGTGGCAAACAGAATAACAGAGAATTTTCTTATGACCAATAATGAATGGTTCAAAGTTTCGTCAACTTTGTTCATTATTACAAAACCTGGCCGATAGATGCTACCTAGACATGGTGGTCGGGCTTGTATATCATAATGACTCAATGAGCTACATGGGCCGGAGCGCTTGTTCCCTTGAGGTGCTACCATGCCAACTAGGTCTGTTGGATAGTGATGGGTCAGTGGCCGACAAAGTCTCCGCACGGATAAAAAGGGCTCGGTTGGCTTTTGCCAATTGTAGTGCCGCCGAGATATCTGATTGTCTATTAAGGGTCGAGTGTACTTTGCTGCAGTCTACCCGGTTCTACTGTATGGCTTTGAAACATAGACATTAAAGTTAGAATGCTTCAAGTGTTTGACCACCGCTGTCTTCGTAGCTTAGGCCGTGTTTCATGGTGTCACCACGTGAATAACGCAGAAATCAGGTGTAGAGTTTTAGGCAGGAGAGGTAAGTCAGTTGATGCTGTTGTGAACCATCATCGACTGAAATGGCTGGGACGTGTGTTACGTATGTATATCCACCGTCTGCCTGGTCGGACGATCTTGGCCGAAATAGGTTCAGGCTGGAAAAAGGGTCGAGGTGGCCAGATTAAAACATGGCGTCAATGTATGAAGTCTTTGACTGTTGGTTTGAGCCATGTGGGGTGATGGAAACTAGCGGGTTAGGGTCTGCGGGACCAGAGAAACCAGTGATTAGAGACTCTAGGCGGTATGGCTGAGAACCGGTGTCAGTGATGCGGATGCATGCACACATTAACCGCTATACCTAATCTCATTATCTTCTCATTCTTCCTTCTCTTTTACTACTTTCTACTTTGACCAGTTTTTCTTTCTTCATCTTCCATTTATTAGCTTGTTACTTGATGTGCTGATATGAGGTGAGGCAACTTGGACGGTTATGCAGTCATTTCTGGTCCTATGTTGGTGATGGTAAGACAAAAAGCGGTTACTGATTTAGTGTAAATTTCTACGCTATGACGGGGGTCCTAGGGCAAAGTTATACTGCTGGATGGTTGGGGTTTGAAAGTACCATGATGTTTCCCTTAGATGACCAGCAGTGGCACGCTAACGCTCTCCTCCCTACGGGAATAGGGGGCTGGCTGAAAAAATAGCACATCCCTCCCTGCCCCACAATCTTCTGGTGCTGGTAGTATGGGTTTTCTCTGTCCGGCGTTCAAACAATGATATACAAACAATTCTGAAAGATTGTATGTGACGGGTATCGAGTAGATGTCCCGTCGGCTCTGCAGTCATAGAAATCTCATTCTTCAGGTATCCTAAAGAGAAATAGGCTTTCACGGTCTGCGTATCCGGGATGTATAAACTGCCCGCACACTTCCAATAGTAAAGAAGATTCAATCAGACATAACTTATTCTCTTCATCTATGTCTCCTCCTTTTGGCTTCACCTCTTGATACTAATATTAGGCCTCTTACACCTCCCCTAATCTCATTCTGCGACCATTACCAACGACCGAAGCCATCGAAACCTCATTCCTAGTCTCTTAAGACCTGGCCATCGATTACATGTAGCTTTCAACGTCCGGACTTATGCCAAATCGGATAGCAAGCATCGTTAGCCAGAACTATGGAATGTCTAGCTATGTGGTGTATGCTGTCTCTAAGACACGTATACAGAATCTGAGTGTGGTTATTAAATTGACGTCACCTGGCCATAGTAGTGAATCTTCAAAACACCTTACGAGTATCCCGAGACCCAGTGGACATAGAACTGAGTTGCAGAGCAGAAAGTACTCTCCTCAACAGAATTCCAGTCAACTGTCTATGTGCTGCTGTTCGACTGAATGGATCTTTAAGGACTAGGAAGGATCGTGGGACTGGGCGATGCCTATTTGTAATTTCCTCCTATGCACCCACCGACTACAGTTTGGATGATGTAAAGGATGAATCCTTTGAGCTGTCACTTTTGCTACAGAAAGCAAAACGTTCAGATATATTCATAGTGGCAGGTGATTAACCCTCATGTAGCGAAGCTGAGCCAATCGGAAAGTTATCTTGGTGGTACTTACGGAATCCCATCCCAATGAACCGATCGATGGCAGTGTTCGTTTGTTGCAACTTTTTCATGGCAATCACTTGTTTCTGATCGGCACTAACTGTTCTCATAAGACACTGGGTCGCATGGCATATGTCGACTTCAAACCAACCATAGACACATAAATCATATTGTTATAAGCCATTATTGGAGGGAATCGTTAGAGGGTTGCTGACCTTTCTGGAGCACCTGTTTGGACTCCAATTATGCTTTGGTATGGACACATGTATCTCTGCGTCTTACTGTTCGCAGGAAGCAGATGATAGTGAAGCCTGTCTGCGGTCAAATGGAAGATAAGAACGTCAGGTATACATTTAGGGTAGAGGTAGCGAAACATTTATCTGTACGTGATAGAAATGCTCATTCTGAGGAAATCTGGCTTCATATTAAGTCTGCTGCATTAACACCAGAAGGTTAGCAAACGTCATTGGATTTCCACAATGCCTTCGGAAGTACTCGATAAGAAAAGACTGATTCCAGCTGGCTCCGAATACGATAAACAGCGAAAGCAACTTAAACGTAAGTTGAATAAGTGTTATCGCAGTTATCGCGAGCAGCTGTGGATAGGGACAGCGAGACAGTTAGAGAAGATATCAGCGTTGAGTAATACCCGACAACTGTTTAGGCTTATTAAGGCAAGAAGTAGACGATGGTGGATGAAATCACCAGTGAAACGAATGAGACGCTGATAGCCTCCAAGTAAAGACAGCTAGATTGTTGGGCGGAACACTTAAACCCAACTCAACTGACCCAAAACAATGCTTTAGCTTGAACCAGAGTGGGAAGTAGATGTCGGTCCTCCGGCTCTCCTTGAATTTGAGGAGGAAACGATCCAAACAACAGGATCTGACAGTTTGTCGCCAAAAGTTTTCAGAATGGGGGTAGGAAATTGTTGATTAGAATGACGAAAGTGCTAGATAGTGTCGTCAGACTGGTTTACTTCAGTGATCGCCTCCGTCTTCCTGTAACAGCCATATGGAATTAGTTTGACTAATATTGTATTTAAGAACCTCGTATCCATAGCTTTTTGACACCTAACTGGGACTCGTGACAACCAAGGAGCTCTGAGACCTGGACGAGGGTGAATCGGCCAGGTTTTTACACTTCATCAGGTTCTGGAACACAAACATACTTATCGAAGCTCTCAACTTGAACTCATACAGCTATGTAAGAGCTTATGGAGAGTTATCATCAGAGTTGACGACAACTAGTGGTGTCCACCGTCCCTTTTTAACTTCATTATAGACGTCCTAATGAACATAACCTTAGGCACGTCTAACTAGACGGATTGATCTACTTTCTGGTGGTCGCCTGATTGACTTGGAGTATACAGACAATATTGGCCCCTTAGGTGAAGACGCTGACAGAATGCAGGCAGGGTCTTCTGAAAACGTTTAGAAACCTGAGTATGTTTGGGATGCGTTTCGCACCTGCCAAGTGTAAGATGATACTTCAGGTCTGGTCTGCAAATACCCCCGGTTTAATTAATGATAGGATGTGCAGTGGTGGAATGCATCCACCACTGAGGAAATCTCAGTTCAGATACAGAAGGCCCGTTTGGCATTTACCGATTTCTTTTCAATTAGATCTTCATCTTGGGCTCTACACTAATATATATAGGGGGTTTACAATTTAATCAAATTACCAATCACGTGGTGTTTCGGAAATGATGATGTAAATAATCAATGGAGTTACTAAAATAGAAAATATGAATATTGATAGAAACAAGGGGAAGCGGAAGAGGTGTACAAAGTAAACCTAGAAGTTACATCATGTTGACGGCCACGGTAATGAAAGTGGTCGAATAAACTTCTTTTGGATACAAAGGCTAGGTTTGTGAAGGTGGATTGCAATCGCCTCTGCTATGTGAAGTAACCGAGTGCGTAATCCATGAGGTAAATTAATTGGAATCTGATGGATAATTTTGAAGGCTTTTCCAGTAACCACTTGATGTCCTGTGTCAACTAAATGTGCAAGTATGGAGCTCTTTATAGTTCTAATTTGTCCCTTGTTCAACCATGATGGGTGGTGCTCAGAAATTCGACGATAGAACTGCCTCATTGTACGCCCAATTAATTTACCTCATGGATTACGCACTCGGTTACTTCACATAGCAGAGGCGATTGCAATCCACCTTCACAAACCTAGCCTTTGTATCCAAAAGAAGTTTATTCGACCACTTTCATTACCGTGGCCGTCAACATGATGTAACTTCTAGGTTTACTTTGTACACCTCTTCCGCTTCCCCTTGTTTCTATCAATATTCATATTTTCTATTTTAGTAACTCCATTGATTATTTACATCATCATTTCCGAAACACCACGTGATTGGTAATTTGATTAAATTGTAAACCCCCTATATATTAGTGTAGAGCTCAAGATGAAGACATAATTGAAAAGGAATATATCTCTTCAATCAATCAGTCTTTTTCTAAATGTCTAAATGGGTATATTCAATTTATCAATTTGCGTCACCACCTATGGCGCCGACTATCTATCAGAGGACAAGTATACTGCACTGCAGTCCATTCTATCATCTTATATGGCTGTGAGACATGGTCGTTATAAGTAGAAGAGATGAAGTGATTACCGGGTTTCAATCATAGATGTCTTAATAGCATTGTTCGCTTTTGGTGGAACCACCCTATGAGTTATGTTTAGATAAGGCAAAGGGTACTAGGCAAGATGAGCAAGTCGATTGATGAGGTTATGAACCGTCATCAACCGAGATGGCAAGCTGAGCCACCGCCTACATCGACGTACTATTCTAAGGGAAGTTAGATTAGATTGGAAGAAGGTCCATAGTGGCCAGACCGAGACTTGGCCTAGTCGATAAAGTCTCTGAGGTGTGTGGAGAGATGTAGACTGTCTGCTTGGGGTCCCTTGGACGAAAGGAATCAGTGGTTGTGTACCGTTGTTGACATGGGTGAAAATAGGTCACAACAGCGCAGATGTATTCACTTCTTGACATCTTCTAACGCTTAAGCATTTGCAGTAAAGGTTATCTTCAAATTGTTTATTCGCTTACACTACTTTGGTATCAGCCTTTTTCTATCCACCTGTTCTTTGTATACTACTGTGAAGTGTAGCACCTTGAGGCGATGCAATTGTGTGCGAGGTTCTTCATTGATTTTTCGTGTCTGTCTATTGTTACAAGACTAGTGTCTACTTGATTCTAAACCAAGTTCTGCAGACACTTGAATTAAGTTGATGGAAAACGCTGACCTGTTTTTCGTCTCTGTTACTTCACACTAGCAAAATGTATCTGTAAATATTAAGCAACTTACGCTTCTCAATAGTTTAAAGTCATGTTACTAACTGACAAGACAAAAAATCTTTCGTGTAATGAACCTAAATTTTGGCCTCACTAATGAATGATAATCGCACCTATGCAATCAAACTTCGCTTATTGTAGCTTAACAGTTAATTGCGATCGGCAATAGTATTTCTGATGGTGTAGTGGGCTTTGCTGATCCGAATGGATATAAGTAGTATATGTTTAGAGGGTGGCAGAAATCATAGGGAATTATCAGCAATGGGTAAGGATTATGCTCAGAGAAACGCAAGAGACAACGCAGGTGTATCAAGACCGAAGCGAGATAGAAGTAGAAAAGGAAACGAAGCACATTTTGCAAATGACTGTTTTAGTGCAAGGTGTACTATATTTGATTACTACTGTACAATATGTCAATAATAAACATTCCTCCCTTCGTCTCCGTCTTTTCGTGTCCTACAATTGGCGCCGCTGATTCTGGATGTGAAGATTCCGTGACCTGCGGGGTTCGATAATGAAGACATCTCAACATCCTCCTCAGGGAGTTCGAGTCAGTCGTGGGGCTGGTGAGTGTCCAGGATCCAGAAGCGAAGGTTATGGTGCTTGACATGTTGCGAAAGCGGCATATGACTGTGTGGAAAGTGAGGATGGTAAGGAGACTTGGCAGAGAATGTTTGAACGCCTGGAGGCGGAGTTTGACAGCCCAGCGGACAGGGAGCTGGCGATGAAGCATTTCCGGAGCATGAAACTTGGAATAGATGAAAACCCGCTGGTATTGGCTGTGAAGTTAACTAAACTACTTTGATGAGCACTTTCCACTTTGGATGACTCCCAGGAGCGGTTGCTGGCGGCACAGTTCACCGAAAGTGTCCCGAATGCTATCGACCAGTAGCTAAGACTAGTGAATGCAGCCCAATCCGTGAATATTAGTGAGCTGGCCAAGGTCATCAGACAGCTAATGGGCACAGCAGCAGCTACAGTGGAGTCACTAGAGGTAAATAACTGGAAAAAACAAATCGACAACCTTCAGGAAGAGGTGGCTGCACTTCGAATGAATATCAACAGACAGAGTAAATGCCTTACATGTGGAAAACTAGTACACTGGCGAAGAAACTGTCCGAAGAGGTGAAAAAGAAAACGTTTTGAACGATACATAATATGATTTCTGTCGCCCTCTCAACATATACCGCTTATATCCATTCTTATCAGCAACACCAACTACAGTAGTATTCAGTTCAATCGAATTGCTTAGTTTAGCTTATCGTTCGAAAGAATCATGATGAGTTGCTTACTTAATACAGTAATAGAATTTTAACAGTGAAGTAAGTTTATGTGTATATATTGACTTCTTCAATTGATAGATTAATTTGACAGACAAAAACGAAATAGAAATTGTTGAATATTCATTATCAGAAAGTAACAGTAATGAAATATACATTACTCTTGACAGAAATCGACACACCAGAATAATAATAACGATAATAGTAGTACAAGTGAATTCTGTAGACAACAAAAGATAAACATATAACTCAATTTAACTGGTCATGGAGAAAAAAAAAATCGAAAAAACAACAACCATAAGTGATTGTAGCATTACAATCAACCACAAAAAACATATCACACAACATAGAATGATGCTTGTCTGTTCATCGCACTTATAATGGTAGTAGTAGAAGTAGAAGTACTTCATCTATTCACACTAACCGAAAGTGTTTATAGTTTAACAACATACACCAACTATATTATTACATCATCATTACCTACCTGTAGTGCAAGGGAAAGTAATTGAGCCAAAAGATTTTAAAAAAGTCCAAAAGATAATAGCAACTATAATTCTTTTTGTAAAAGCATAGCAAAGTGGAAAACATTATATATATATGGAGAGAGAGCGCTTATCATTAATTATTTATCTGTTCCAGTATACTGACGCTTTGTTAATAGCAGAAAAGATATAACTCCGAGCAATCGGATAATGACAACAACAAAAAACAGCGAATATATGCGGAAGTGAATTAGTAGATAAGTCTCCAACATCCTGTTCTCGATTAGAAAAAAACCAGAGGCCAGTTATCTCTTAATCAGAAGAAAACACAGCATATATATATATATATATATATATATATATATATATATACGCAAAATGTATACACTATTGTCACAACATAAACAGGAAATGAAAGCAATTTAGTTTTACTGATGAAACAATCACAATAATAGTAGTGATAATAATAATAATAATAATAATAATAATAATAATAATAATAATGAGTATTTTTCTTCCAATCTGTTTATAACTGTATGAGTGGAGAAGAGCTATGTGTATGTGTGTGTGTGTGTGTGTGTGGTAATTTCAATTTTCATGACATTTCACAAAGCAAAGATTTCTAAATCAATATTGTTTTCTTAATTTCTTTCATTGGATAGCTTTTTGTATACGTTCAATCCATTGCATAGCACTTTCTTGGTTGGCTGCACCAAGTCTATATGTTCGATTATTGGTTTCCAACTATAAATGAAAGTTGGAACAGTAAATAATGATTGAGAAACATCATATATGAAACAATTAGTCCCTTTTATGAAGTTGGATAATGTAATTAGAAGACGAAGATTATCTGAAAAATGTGATGTGTATTGGCGCAATACATTTCGAACAATCTGATCCCCCACACATTTACTTGTCAAGTCAATTTATATGAAAAGCTTGTGACACTAGTCTTGGTAATATAATCAGATTGCCAAGTATTACCAAGATAAATTAAGTGAAACAACAAATTGTTTTTGTACACACAGCGGGAGATTAAGTTTACGAATGGCTAACGCTTCGGCAAACTTCAGTATGCACCCCTGATTATTCCTACAGACTAGGGTGGGTGAATACATCCCCAAATGACTAGAAAAACAGTTTAACACACAAACTTTGATAAGTGCAGGTGACAAACATCCATCGTCATCTATAGCAAAACATCTTCATTGAAATGAATCACAGGATTAGTACGAAAACAGCGTTTAAGATATTATACAGCAATAATCAGGAGCGCATACTGAAGTTTGCCGAAGCGTTAGCCATTCGAAATGTATTGCGCCAATACACATCACATTTTTCAGATAATCTTCATCTTCGAATAGCGTTATCGAAAAATAAGAAAGATAATGAGAGGAATAAAAGATAAGACTTGAAGACAATCTTGGTAATACGAGATTGTCTTCAAGTCTTATCTTTTATTCCTCTCATTATCTTTCTTATTATTGGATTCCTTTATGTTATATGTGTCCTACCCCCATTTCCAGTTTTCATATATAATGCCTTAACAAGTAAATGTGTGGTCAGATTGTTCGAAATGTATAGCGCTAATACATCACATGTTTCAGATAATCTACGTCTTCTAATTACATTATCCAAACATCATATAGTCGACTATAGAATACAAAGGAGTAAAGTGGAAAAAAACCTGGTGAGATAGAAAAATTAATGGTGACCAACGTATTAGACATCAAAGTAATCCGAATCGTTTTAGGTTTGACTGTAATTTGTCTGGATCATATCGATGAGGTATCCTTGTCCATAGACGCAAATGTACAGTGACATGTAGCCAACTATCATTCAGTCAAGAGGATTCAGGTTTTAAATATCACCTCGATCAAATTTATGATTTAGATATCGTCTTAGTATGTCAGGTGTGCTTTTTTAGACTATACTTCAGTATTTGATTCTGTCCCAAGACCTCTTCTGCTGGACAAGCTAACCGGGATAAATACTGAGTCAACCAGCTGCATTCCTACTTTTCTGAAGGGAAATAACATACTGTTCACAGACGGAAGTGCTCCACCTCACTGATTACTTCGACTGGTGTTCTCCAAGCAGCCATCCTTTCCCCATGTCTTTTCAAGTTCTTTCTGTATGACTTACCATCTTCAGCTGGCATCGATTTCATCAAATATGCTAGTGACCTAACAGTTTCCATACCTATCTACTTTACAACAGATTGTTACCAACCGAATGATTTTCTATCTACTGTTAGACGATGGTCCACCGTAAATGGTCTTGTTCTGAAATCTTCAAATTGTGTCAGACCATAAACTTCAGTTTTGAACGTGAACATAACCTGTGTAAACTGCTTAGTTCTCATGATCCCTGTTCTATTGATGGTTGCGCATTAGAGAATGTTACCAGTGTGATTTATCTCGCCGTGTATTTTTCTTCGGACCTTTCCTGGTCTTCTCATATCTCACTAATTTCCAAAATAATTTTTCGCCTTTCTATATTAAAAAGCTGCGAGTATCTGGTACCACTCAGCCTCTCCTCTTAATTTTTATAAACTCCTGCGTCTTGCCTGTCCTCCTCTGTTGCTTTCCTATGTTTTTTCCTGCATTGCTTAGAAAAGACTGTCGCATTGCGTAGAACTTCGAGGATTGTCAGCAGAACTAGTGGTGTACCTCTAAAACTTCTAATTAAAATAGTTGTGGACAAACATATTAAACCATGTAAACATCTATCAGGAGTTATTTTATCAAATGATCAACATCCTCTTCACTCAAAGTTCTCTGTGCATCGGTCATCAGGAAAGACAAGGAGCAAGTACATAACACTGTGTACGTACTACAACATGTAAAAACTATACAATACAGTGCGTATTTAGTTCGTCAGCTGTGCAACGAAGAAAGCATTAGAAATGAACTAACTAATCAACTTCTGTTATTGAAAACAAACTAATTGGTGATGAGCATGTTACTATTTACATATTATGAATCCGATTGCCAATGTGATTGTATACTTAAGTTAACTGTGCATTTTGAAGAAGGTTGTAGATGGAGTGAATATTCTTATCTTGCTTTCTATAATTTCTACTTATTTCATTTTTCTATGCAAACATGTACACTATCTCTGTCCAATTAATACTATATGACATGTAGAATATTCTCTAGAGTATTATCTAAACATCTTTCAGAATAAAGCCAATATCATTATTTGTCCATTGGATTCATAGTGCAACATAGGGATTCATTAGCAAGTCACCACTTCACTCTCTTCTCACCAGTATTTTCAACCTGCCTCCAACACTCCCCATAACTTTCATTTCTTCCTCATACCATCTCCTCAATTTCAACCTCACCTAGGACGCCCAACTCGTCGTCTCCCATTCCCCTGACACTCGACGACCTGGTATGGCATACTGTGTGATGTCCCCAAACCGTCATATCAGTCTACATCCAATTCGATCCAATCCATCTCCACTCTCTTCTACTGCATATTTGTTGGGTGACACGTTCTTCATCGGTGGGTTCGTTGCCAACCAGCCAGCCACAGTTCCTCCTTGCTTATTCCTGCTTATTATTCTCACCATCTCATCTCCACTCCATCTTCACTATCAAGTGAGCGTAAGCAGCAACTGTTGATGTGACGTATGTGTACAGTTTGTTGGAAATGCTTTCGTAACACATCAAGTCTCTCAACCATCACATAGAAGCAAGCACTGATTGACTTGAATGAATTAGTGTTGAAAATCCGGGTCTTGTTCACGCTTTATGTTGAGTGGAGTGGAGTGGAGTGCAGTGCAGTGAAGTGCAGTAGATCTCCACACTGATTATTTCAGATTAATGCAGGGATGCCTATCTTACTGTCTTTCCGATCCTGGCTGCTTTGACATCGTCGCCGATGCCGTCACCATCTGTAGTTGAGACGATGCTGTCCTGCCCTGCCCTGCTTAGGCTAGGCTAGGTAGGTGTAGGTGAAAGAGACAACTTCCTTTAGATTTCTCCCACTGATGGTGATTGATGCTTGTTGCTGTTGTTGTGGTTGATTATTATTATTATTTGAATTTAAACTTTAGGGATATCTACTTTCTTGACAATTGGCGTACTCGCTTTCCTACGGTGACTTTATCATTCACCTAGCGTACGGAGATATAAAGGTTATATAGCTGTGAGTGAATATCTTTATACGATTGACGGATAAATCCTAGAGAACAACAGAAAATGCTATGACATATGCACACCTCAAGAGCACTATGTGCAGCTTAACAAGGGTTCTAAGGTCAGTCAGCAACAAAATACTATCAAAAAGAAGTCGACGATGATATTATAGACCGAATCGGTGATGGGAACGAACAAAACTTAACGAGAGTTGAAACCTATTGTGTAGGTCACTATCATGACTCGGGTTTATAGGTGGCAAGTTGAACACATGATTATGTAAGCAGTTAGTTGTCATTAGTATAAGGATTTTTTATATGATACCGTCGTTGATTGGACCGAATTGATCGGTCTCTATTAGCATATGGGCTACTGTGCGGATGCCTCGATATTATACTAAAAACGATACCCGTCACACAAGAAGTGGCTATCGTGGCTCGGTAGTGTAGTGGATAACGCTCTGGCGTTTGAAGCGATCGCTCCCGAGTCTCGGTGGGAACAACATTACTCACTGTGAAGCAAGATACATCCAGCCGACGAGTCCCAAATAGGACGAAATGCGCATCCTGGATTCCACTGCTAGCCACGATCGATCCTTAACATAGTTAGTTGTCATGTTGCTATCTAACACATGGCTGATTTTAAACGAATTACTTAGCTTAGTGTTTAAGTTAGAACTGCTCGGGAGGCAAATATAATTGATAGTGTAAAGTTAAGGGTTATTAGGATAGGGGTGGGGGTCAATGGAGGTTTGAAACATATCTGATTGGAGTTGGGCAATCTACGAAATGTCATGATGGCTGTTAACGAGCAGAATGAAGATGCAGGTAGAATGGTCCTCAGTCATAAGCAGATGTATATTCAATAAGACAAAATTTTCAGCACCCATTAATACCCTATCAGAGACTTTAATGTATTTTAGCGGAAGGAGTATGCACTAAAACTCAAAGGGCCATCCATCACTCGCGTTCAGCAGAAAACATTTCAATTAGAACCAAATACATGTCCTGAAGTCTACTGTTAGGTACTGAAATACTGCTGTAAAATCATTACACTAACAGGTTGTCAACCACTCGTTGAGAATTTCCAAAATACCATTGGACGTAGGAGTAATATGACAATAATAATAATAATAATTCACTTTATTCCAAACAATTTGTGGAACAGTTTGGAATTCTCAGCATGATTTATTATAACAACAACAACATAATATATGTATGTTTTTACTCCTTTAAAACATCTCGAATTGTGTTACTATAAGAATTTAATTAATGTAAAGAGTAATGTATTTTTGAGATGAATGGGGATTTTTTAATTTAGAAGTAGTATTCATCATGAACTGACATCAGTAGGGGGAACCATTGGGAATTCTGAGAGCAATGGACAGCTGTTTCGTCCTAGCATTGGACTCCTCAGCAGTACGCGTTCGCCTGGAAACCTGAAGCTCTTGCGTTCGATCCCCAGCAGGGTCATGGGTGCGTACTGCTGAGGAGTCCTATACTAGGACGAAACAGCTGTCCAGTTCTCGCAGACTTCCAATGGTTCCCCAACTGAAATCAGTCCATGATGAATACTACTTCTAATGTAAAGAGTGTTAAAAACGAGAATATTTTACATTGTTAGTTAAATTATTGAAATGAGATTGTTAACTGTCACAAAGTTGATATGTGAGTTCTGTTCTAACACGGCTTTCCTCATATAATATGCTTGTTAGGTAAGGTACAGTCGAATTCTTGTACTGTGTGAGCGTACAGAGTCCATTGTGATTTCTTCTTGTTCTCCCTGAGGATATTCAAGGGGAGAATTGAGAATGAAGTGGGTACTTAGTGTCGGTTAAAATTACTTTAGCTAGTTGCCTACTAGAATTTAAATGTCTATCAACTACAGTATTAATCACTTAAGTCAGAGGCACAGCACTCACCCTACTGACGGATTTCAAAGTCTACGTAATATAACATAGTCCTTTTTTAGCGATCAGCGGAGAACAATAGAGAAGAATGGGTAAAGTATAGGAAGTAATAAAATGTAAAAGTAGAGCGTGAGTTATACTAGACAGCCTCAGTTTCTTTATGTAATAGGTTAAAGGAAAGATTTTCTTTACAAGTCAACAAGATATGAGACGACCAACAAAGATCAGAAGTAAAACTCAATCCAAGATACTTAACACTCGATTTACTTTCTGCAAAAATACCATCAGTACTGCAACAGGCGTCATGAGAGTTGAGCAGCTTAAACAAGTCTTATTTACGCCTGAGCCTGAAATTAACAGTCTGACATTCAAAAGGGTTTACTTTGAGACCATTCATTATCATTCATCAACATAGGACCAAGCATTACTACGTAACGGTCCGAGTTGCCACAGCTCTTATTACTACATCAAGTAAAAAGGCAGTGAAGTAAAAGATGAAGAAAATAAAATTTGGTCAAAAGAAGTATAAAGTACAAAAAAAGAGAAAGGTTGGATGAGAAAATGGTGAGATTCGGTATAGCGTTAAGATGAGAGGTGAGAGACCATTGGTTCGACTACACACAAGAATCAATTTAATTCAGAGCAATCTAAATGAGAGTTAACCAGAATAGACACCGTCAGTCATCAGCATACTTAATAAAATTACTTTCAACCGATAGGTAAATCGTGCAAAAAGAACGAAAGTAGAAAAAGAGGAAATACTGTACGTTAAGGCACACTAGCTTCTGTAAGCAATGAAGTGGAGTGCTTCCTTTTATAGACAGTATACTTTTCCTTTCAAAAAAATAAAATAAGAGTACAGCCACTTTGTAACCCATGCCTCAGTGTGATCTATGGCAAGTTCATTCAACAAGAGTAGACTAGGAACAGAGTTAAAGGCTGACGAGTAATCCAAGAAGACACAATGAACATACTTGTCTAGACTAAAAACAATAGTATGAAGCAGACAGTGATACCATTTAAAGTATTTGTAAGCAAATTGTTTTGGATCTCTAAAAATCTTCAATGAAGGCTCAATCATAAGAAGAAGTAATTTCTCTATTATCTTCAAAGAAAGGGGAAGTTATAGCGATAGGTCATAATGTATGAGTATTGATAAGGACATAGACTTAAAAAAAAATTGACTAATTATCAGCAAAATAATCATTTACAAATAATATATTGAGGTAAATTAACAGTTTAACTTACTTCGAATACAACAATTGCAAGTGATTTTCGTTGATATGTAAAATTTTTCATAATTTTTACATTTCTTACATCTTGTAAGTCAATACATCCACGAGGTAATGATTCAGCATAACTTTCATAATATTTTAATTGATGTCTATTTGTGTCTAATGCAAATAATCGTTGTTTCCATTGTTGTAAAAATTTACGATGACTTAATTTATATAAATAACCATAATATGATGATGAAGCTAAGTGTTTCGGTAGTTCAGCACCAGATAAACTTCGAGCACCTTGTGATTGAGTAGTATCTGGTAATGTATTAATTTGTCCTGGAGATGAAGAACTTTCGCTTAATTTACGCTTTCCACCACGATTATCTTGTCTATTATTATAAAGTGAATTAAGAAGAAAGTAGATTGTATAACTATAATGATGATGATGATGATAACAAGCGAATGTATGATAATTATGCTGATAAATACATTAGCTTAAAGTTAAATAAAATTTAGGATGACTTTAAGGTCACCCTAGTAACTGATGAGATAGACAAATTACATTCCTTTATTTGATGGAAAAGTACTTTTCCAGGCGAAATACCGAAACTGTATTGGTCATTTCAGTAGGTGTTAGGATAGCCTTTGAAGTCAGATAAAATTTATGATACCCACTGTTTTATTTCAGTCATTACAATTCTCATTATCCTATACCTGTTTGTTTCACTCACTATACACAATCTTGAAATGCATCTACAAAACAAGGTAACAAATACACTAAACGTTATCAAGGAATAACACTTCTGTACAGATTTAGGCACAGATGAATCTCCTTAGTGCAGAAAGTACTCGACATAAAACAACCATCCACTAAGTCATGGCTAATTATTCACTAGTATTATTGTTATTACTATAATTATATGTCCCTTGGATTCATAGTGGAACATACGGATTCATTAGCACGTCACCATTTCACTATCTTCTCACCAGTATTTTCAACCTGCCTCCACCACTCCCCATAAACTTTCATTTCTTCCTCATACCATATCCTCAATTTCAACCTCACCTAGGACGCCCAACTCGTCATCTCCCATTCCCCTTACACTCAACGACCTGGTCTGGCATACTATACGATGTCCCGAAATCTTCATTTCAGTCTACATCCAATTCGATCCAATCCATCTCCACTCTCTTCTACTGCATATTTGTTGGGTGACACGTTCTTCATCGGTTGGTTCGTTGCCAACCAACAAGCCAGCCACAGTTCCTCCTTGCTTATTCCTGCTTATTATTCTCGACATCTCATCTCCACTCCATCTTCACTATCGAATGAGCGTAGTCGGTAGCTGTTCATGATGTATGTGTACAGTTTGTTGGAAATGCTATCGTAACACAGCAAGTCTCTCAACCATCACATAGAAGCAAGCACTGATTGACTTGAATGAATTAGTGTTGAAAATCCGGGTCTTGTTCACGCTTTATGCTGAGTGCAGTGGAGTGGAGTGCAGTGAAGTGCACTAGATCTCCACACTGATTATTTCAGATTAATGCAGGGAGGCCTTCTTGCTGTCTTTCCGATCCTGGCTGCTTTGACATCGTCGTCGATGTCACCACCATCTGTAGTTGAGACGATGCTGTCCTGCCCTGCCCTGCCTAGGCTAGGCTAGGCTAGGTAGGTGTAGGTGAAAGAGACAACTTCTTTTAAATTTCTCTCGTTGATGGTGATTGATGCTTGTTGTTGTTGGTTGGGTATCTTCATCACCTCTAACTTCTCTACGTTCACCTGAAGGAGGTCTCCTTTTCGCTGCTCTGCCCTGCCCTGTCTCTTCTGCTAACTGGTTGGTCTTCGCCTGTGCATCTTCGAGTTTGTGTGACAAGGCATTAGACGTAAATCATCATCGCTGGCAAAATCCAAATCTTCTAGGGTCTTCTCATTGGTCAAATAGCGTATATCTATCTTCTCGCTCATTACAGTTTGTTGTATGATCCAATCCAGTCCAGTTGATCACAATCAGAAGATCATGTGTGGTAGTAAGCTACCTTGTCTTACTCCTGTTCCCTGTCTTCACTTCAAAGGTATCACTGAGCTTTCCATTGTGAATCACTTGGCATGTAGCACCATGTAGTTAGTATATAGTTGCGAATGAAGTTGATAAAATTTCGTGGCATTACAACCGTAGTGTTAAAGCAACTGCCAAATTACTTCTCGATCGACGCTATAGAAGGCCTTTTCAAAGTCGATGAAGTATAATATATCTGGTTGAAATAACTGTTAATATTGAAACAAAAAAGATTTTTGAATTCAACTCGGAAACCATATTTTATTATTTGATGATAGGCAGTTTTATATCAGTGACAACGTATATTAGTGAAGACTTTTGCATTGTTAACTTGTAACCACTATGAGTATCTTACCTTACAATATTCACATTTTTCGTACAGTTTAGTCTTAACAAAAATGATTCCACTAATTGAAGACCATTGCTAAAATGAACAAAATTTGAGGAACACTTGAAACGGCATAATAAATACCCTTTTTTTAAAAAAAACAGCAGGGAATGAATAAACAATTAATTCTCTATCATAGAAGAGGAACAATAGAACAATTCCACTTTAATTTGGAAGTAGTATTCATCATGGACTGACATCAGTTGGGAAGCCATTAAAAACCTGCAAGCACTGGACGGATGTTTCCTTGTAGTATGGGACTCCACGGTAGTATGCCCCCACGACCCAGTTAGGGATCGAAGTCAGGACCTTCAGGTTTCAGGGCGAAAGCATACTGCCGAGGAGTCCCATGCTAGGACGAAACAGCTGCTCAGTGCTCCCAGATTTGCAATGGTTCCCCAACTGATATCACTTCATGATTAATACTACTTCTAAATTAAAACATTCCCATTCATCTCGAAAATACATTAAATTCCATTTTAACCTATTTGGCAGAAATGTCAAACAGTGAAGGAACAGTATCACTTACTGGATAACAAAGTTTCGGACACAATCTATTGTCCATATTCATATCAGGTAATTCCGATTGATGAGTTTTATTTAGAACTACAAACTGAACCTTATCGTGTCATTGGGACAAGTTGGAGAAAAGGAAGATAGATACCTAACTATGATATTGGATGATGGTTGTGTTATATCGCAAATTGATAGAGGTAGGAAAATATGGACTACTGAATTTCAACTCAGTAGCTCAATGTTAACGTAGTGACCACGTTAAAGTTAATTGAGTTAGAGTAGGCTTAGTTAAATGCCTAAGTGATAAGGTAAAAGAGTCTACTAGCAAACATGAAAATCTATGATAAGAAACTAGACACTTCAAGAACACCTTGTTTTTCAATAATTACTCATCTAAATTAATAGATAAATTTATAAGAAATCGAAAAAGGAATATGAACAGTAGAAGTGGTAGTAACATAGGTGTTTTCAATAGTAATTATTATTATTATTTTGATAATAGTGTTATTGTTTGTATTACACCGTCGTTGATAGGACGAAATGCGCATCCTGGATTCCACTGCTAGCCACTGCCCATCATTACTATATATAGTTAAAAGACAAGCAATATCGAGGCATCCGCACAGGACACCATATGCCAACAGAGACTGATCAATTCGATCCAATCAACGACGGTGTAATACAAGCAATAACACTAAACCTATACCCGTCGCACAAGAATTGGCTATCGTGGCTCGGTGGTGTAGTGGATAACGCTCTGGTGGTTGAAGCGACCGCTACCGAGTTCGGATTCCAGTAAGAACATCACTCACTGGAATGCAGGTACATCCAGCTGACGAGTCCCAAATAGGACGAAATGCGCATCCTGGATTCCACTGCTAGCCACTGCCCATCATTACTATAAATTTTGACAATAATTTGAAAGTCTTTATGATCAGTTATTTCCCCTTGTTCCAACCTCCTTAGATAATCAGAGTTGGTTGAAAGCTAAGCTAGTGGATATTGCCCATCAATTCCATAGTTCAGGCCCAAGACAAAGAAGCATCTTAACTTCACAACATTTCATGTTCACATTATTATCATCATGTATAGACAATGTGATCTGATTCGTTATCTTTTACTATTTAAATCATACATAACTTTTACAGGTTTTATTCTCTGAAAAAGCTATTTTCATGAAGTCGCGAAACGTCAGAAATTTGTGTTTCTACCTCATTGGGATTTTACAAATATATTTCATCATTTGACTACGAGATATCTGTAGTATGAGAGAGGGAGCATCATACTGATTATCCGAGATGAAATAGTTTGGCAGATTAGTATTTATAGTGGGTGATGATTGAAGGTGAAATGAAAATCTGAACCGCGGCCAGGTTCGAACCAGCGACCACCGGATTACCGGCCCGGTACTCTACCAAACGGTGGTCGCTGGCTCAAATCCGGTCACGGCCCAGATTTTCATTTCACCTTCAATCATCACCCACTATAAATATCAATCTGCCAAACTATGGCCATCTCGGATAATCAAATGATAATCAATATGATGCTCCCTCTCTCATACTAATTCAGTTAGATTTGGATTGAGGTGAGAAATCGTAACTAGGTAGCCAGTGTGAATACGATGAAGCGGTAGGGTCGGACCTTGTGGCTCATTTGGTAGAGCACTGGGGCCGGTAACCCGGTGGTCGCTGGTTCAAATCCGACAGCAGTCCAGATTTTCATCTCACTTCCAATCATCACCCAGTATAATTCAATTCACTGTTCAAAGTCTAGAAGTAGTTTACAGAGTAAGTTTTAAAATTGTCTCCATAATAAACTTGTTTATTCGATTTATAACACACAGTGACATAGTATTATTCCAAGCATATATTATTACCCTTCATAACCATATCAATTAATCACACTCCTCTCGACATCTAATTTCTACAGTACTGTCAACCACCTCATTTTCTTTCTTTTCATTCGTAGTAAAATCTTCCATATCCCTCAATAGATTTCGCATCATTCCTATTTCATGAGTTGGCTGCATGTTGATTCTATGAACAATGATTCAGTGGTCGATCTCTCTCCTCTCAACTTAATTAAATTGGATTTCAGGACAGTGGCTTTATGGATGGATTGAAGTAGCCAAGGTTTTTCTAGATTGTTGATTTCATTGGGACCTGTCATTCTATATTTAGCTAAATTCCTATGTTCCACTATTCTAAGTGATCCCGACCAACCAGGCTAATTTCACCTATGTAACTGACCTTGCAGTTATTACATGGAAGTTGATAGATTCGATTATTTTGCTTAATTCGTTGTATCAGATGCTTAAACCAGTAGAAAAAGTTTATTTCTGAGTGAGAATTCTACGTACAGTTCCTGATGTTCCTTCCTTATAGGGTAACACAATGGAGACTGTGAACTCCTTTCTATTCATGTTGTCGCTATAATTCGTATTCGTATTACTGTTAGAGGCTTGCAAATAGAATTAACTGTATGATCTCAAACTACAGCTTACATTTCATCACAATAAAAAATAATAATAATAAAATGATTTATTACTCTCAGCAGGAAAAGCTTACATTAAAATCATCGAAGATCTAATCGATTGATCTCGTTCAACACGCCATGGTAAAGTTGGACTGAATAAGCCGCTGCCACCACCACCACTACCACCTCCAAAAGCTGGAGTTGATCGTCCACGTTCATCAAGTTGATTTGATTTTCTGTTATCCGTTTCACTTGGTAAATAGGCAGAGTCATGCCTTTTCAGTATATTTCCTAACTTTTTTGTTTGATTACAAGTATTTATTATAGATGTAGGCAGACACTTTGAATCGAGAGTTGAACATTTTTCATGACACAGTAGATCACATTCTATACACTTAACAAGATTATCTGTTGATTGACACTTTTGATGACATAATTCACACGATATGTTTGTATCAGCTTGAGATGATGTGAATTTATGCATTTGAAGCTAGAGAGGGAACAGGCAGAAAGTAAATCATAAATAAACACGTAACTCAATCATCAAGGGAGAAAAATTATTCGAAAACCAGTGACTAGTGTGAATTATCTTACGTTGCATGTCATTGATAAAAAGCTTTGCAACAGTATTTAGTACTTGTATGAAAACATAAGAGATGTTTTAGACCATGAAAAAGCTCATAGCTTCTTCGAAATTTATACTTGAATGATTCAGAACACTTACTAATTTTTATCGGATAGCTTAATAACTATAACGGCATCCTTTTACAAAACTAAAGTATTACAGTATGTACTACGAGAGTAAGTCAAAGTCACAAACTATGCAAATCAATTTAGAGAAGTTTAACACGGAGTAAATTACAAATTACGCTCTCCACACGCCCAATAGTGACACTGAGACTGAAAGATGAATTGCTAAGACTGTCCACTTACTATTGTATTTATCAGCAGTTTGGTGACTGCTTTGGAGACAGTTACGTTAGCCATTGCTATGAAAATTCATTTTTCGTGCTCGCGATGATTGAGTAAAGGTATGGGGTAAAGACCATTACTAGCTTCATATTAACACACTTGCTTAACACACAAAACACAAGGTGGATATGATTAAGTAGTTTTCTATTCCGTATCGGGTTCCCATCAACTTGCGAAAAGGTATCCAATTCTGAATCCTTCAGATTGAATAAGCAGTAGCAATCAGGATCAAACAAGTGGAAATTATGCTTTCAGAAAAAGCAAGTGTTCCCACTACAATTATCATGGCCCAACTCGGTAGATAACACTTCATCCTTATAATCTGAAAGTTTTAACACATTCTCTTAATCTATTTTGTCCCTCAAAATGAGTAACATTCTATTAAGTTATTATTCCTCAAACGATGTTTCTAAATTTGCTTCATCCAGCTCTCATAAACACCTTCTTAGTGATTTAATTAACTGTTACTTTAAAGTGTTACACGATTAATTAGTTTGCATTGGATCCCAGTAACAATTGATTCCACCATTAAGGTTTAAGTAAAACTTTTACGAATTGACTTCCTCAATTGTACAACATTATTAACAAACTGATAATCCATCTAAATCAACATAAGACCAGGCATTACTGCGTAACGGTCTGAGTTGCCACAGCTTATATCATGGTGAAATTCGGTACAGTGTCGTAAAGATGAGGATAATGTGTGTATTCATCTGCGCCACCGACATCGGTTTTGAGCCATATCACCTAGTCTCCAACTACTGGTCCCTCTTGTCCCGTGGACCCTAACCACCTAGTCTGCATCGCATAACATGGCTCTAACCAACAATCAAACACTTCAAACATTGATGCCATGTTTTAGTCTGGTCACCTCGGACCTTTTTCCAGTCTGAACCTATTTCGGCCAACATTGTTTGATGAGGTAACCGGCGACTAGGCATACGCAACACATACCCCAACCATCTCAATGGATGAAGGTTCTACAACAGCATCAACTGATTTACCTCTTCTCCCTAAAACTCTACACCTGACGTCTGCTTTACTCACGTAGTGATACCACGGAATACGCTTATACTACGAAGGCAACGGTGGTCAAACACCTAAAGCCAGCTTCCTCATGTCTTCCACCTTCAATGGGTATGTTTCACAGCCATATGGTAGAACAGACCGGACTGGTGTGCAGTACACGCCACCCTTAATAATAGACAATCGGATATCACGGCGGTGCCACAGGTGGTGTGACTTGGCGAAAGTCAGTTAAGCGTTTTCTATTCATGTACAGATTTCATCGGCCACTGACCAACGCACCAGAGCTGATCCCACTTCCCAGGTAAGTGAAGTGATAGACACACTCAATCATTAAACTCTCTATTGTTAGCCATAGCACCTTGAAGACCAATCCTGAAGCAACAGTTTGCATTTGTGTAATGAGAAACGCATCCCAAACATTCTCAAATTCCCACTCAAAGTGTTCAGAAGACTCTGCATCTTGTCAACCTTTTCATCTAACAGGACTATGTCATCTGCATATTCTAGGTTTGACGAAAATTCTTTCGTGATTAGGTCAACGTCTGTGTAACCTAGTGACGAGAAGGAGACCTGCATAAGAATATGTATGATGAAATTGAATAAGAATGGAGAGACTGGGCAGCCTTGAAGGTAACTACTCGACGAGCACAGCTCCCTGGACATCTCACCATAGGCTCTAATACGCCAATGTGTTCGAGTAGAGAGCGAAATCTCAATATTATTGTCACATAATTCCACAATATATATACATAACTGTAGAACGCGAAGAAGTTATCAAAATGTATGTTCTTTGTTCACTCAAATGGCTTTTAAGGTAAAAGAACTGACAGACGAGCAGATTTTAGAACCGTCATATCATCCAGTAAATAAAACTGCACTATCGTGTGCTATAATCATATAGGCAATCTGATACAAATTGAATTTTTGTCTGTTAGTTAGATAGATGTACCATACAGTGAAACAGCTGAATGTTTCAACTATGCATAGAATGTGCATTATGCAATGAGTCGAACTTAGCGGTGTTAAGGATAATGATACCACCTGACAGCCTAGACCTATGGTAGGTTGAGGCTAAGTTCAAAAACATGATCAACCAATTGGAAGTTAGCGGCATGGACCAGGGAACTAAGAATTACTGCTTAAGACCAATTATATTACAAATTTCGATTAACAGCTGCCGCCTACGCTCACTCGATACTGAAGATGGAGATCAGATGGCCTGAACAATGAGAATAAGCAACAAGGAACTCTGGCTGGTTGGCAATGAACCAACCAACCAAGAACCTATCACCCAACAAATATGCAGTAGAATAAAGTGGAGATGCATTGGGCATACACTGAGAAGGCCGATTGGAGACATTCCTTTCCAGGCCAGGTCGTCGAGTGGAATCCAAAGGGGAAACGACGATCTGGGCGTCCTAGCCGAGAGTGACATGGAGATGGTGTGAGGGAGAAATGAAAGGTTATGGGGAGTGGTGGAGGCAGGTTGAAAAGAATAAAGAGAGGAGAGTGAAATGGCGACGTGCTAGTGAATCCGTAGGTTCCACTATGAACCCAAGGGACAAACAAATAATAAAATAATGAAGGCCTGTCTTGCTGTCTTTCCGATCCTGGCTGCTTTGACATTCTCATCTATGCCGCCACCTGTAGTTGAAATGACGCTGCCCTGCCTAGGCAGGTGTAGGTGAAAGAGACAACTTCCTTTAGATTTCTCCCACTGATGGTGATTGGTGCTTGTTGTTGTTGTTGGTTGGGTATCTTCATCACCTCTAACTTCTCTACGTTCACCTGAAGGAGGTCCCCTCTTCCTTTCCTGTCGTGCCCTGCACTGCCTCGCCTCTTTCCTGCCAACTTGTTGGTTTTCACCTGTACATCTTCGAGTTTGTGTGACAAGGCATTAGACATCAATCATCATCGCTGGCAAAATCCAAATCTTCTAGGGTCTTTTCATTGGTCAAATAGCGTATGCCTATCTCCTCACAGTCCCTCACACTTTGTTGTATGATCCAGTCCAGTCTAGTTGATCACAATCAGGAAGACCATCTGTGATAGTAGGCTACATTGTCTTACTCCTGTTCCCTGTCTTCACTTCAAAGGTATCACTGAGCTTTCCACTGTGAATCACGTGGCAAGTAGAGTCATCATATAGCTGTTGAATGAGGTTGATAAAGGTTCCTGATATGATATGACTATGGACAATAACTTGTGTCCAAAACGTTGTCCAATAAATAATACTGTTCCATTTTGTCTATGATACATTTAATAAACTAACTAAACTTGAAACTGATTAGTCTACACCTATCGGCTACAATTTAATGATGGTGATGTAAAAATTCTCCTACTGGGTTGTGAATCAAGCCTACCATATCAGTGAAAAGATTCATTCGTACATGGAATAGTAACTGTTACGGATTTTATATACAGGTAAATTTTATGTTAACTTGCTAAGTTGTAACAATTGTAATTTGCATAGTGTAATAAGAAGACGGAGGCTATCTGAGAAATGTGTAGTGTATTCGTGCGGTACATTTCGAACAACCTGATCACGCATTTACTTGTCAAGGCATTTTAGTGTATGAAGAATGAAAATAGGGTGGGGTAAAATATATAAACTAAATTATCACTATGCACCGATAAGATTCACTTCAATTTCGAAGCTGAACATTTTCAACAAGTTGATGGTGTTGCTATGGGCAGTGCTTCAGAACTATTGTTAGCTGATGTTTACATGTCAAATGTAGAACTTTTGGTTGAGGATATTATCAGCAAGGTCCTTCTGTACAGGAAATATATTGATGTTATCTTAGTTATATGTAACAAATGCGAGAATGCGAAAAGTCTTCTAGATCGACTTAACGCTGTACAAAGTCACAGTAGCTTATCGTGTGAGGCAGAAAATAATAATCAGCTTCCTTTTCTTGACGTGTTGTTAACTAGAAGTGAAGATGGATCGATAAAAAGATAAATGCATAAAAAACCTACATAGACTGGACAGTACCTTAACTTTCATAGTTTCTGTCCAATGCAATACAAACGAGGTTTATTGAAGTGCTAATTCAAAAGAACCTAACAACAGATACATTGAAAGAAGAATTCAAATTTTTAACGGAGACATTCATCGAAAACGCATATCGTCTGAAGTTCATCAACCCTCATAAAAACGTCTTAACGGTGTGAACTAATCAGTATTCTGTTCCGAAGAAAGATGTTTACATCACGCTACCGTATAAGTGGGAATCAAACAGTATTATCTTAAGACGAAGACTTAATTCAGTTATTTAAAATACATACTACGCAGTCAAGCTCAATATTATTGAGAAAACAAAACTTATGCTTCAAAATAAACCTCATCATTTCATTGATGATTACGTCACATTCCGCTGTGTATACCAATTTACATGTGTGTACAGTGACACAAACATTGGGAAGAAGAGTAATCGAACTATGAAGTCGGTGGTGGAGAATATCCCTAAGTGGTTAGCAAAACAATCTTATTCAAATAATCCGATAAATACAGGGAACAGACAGATGTCATCATTGATAGGTAAACACAGGATTGACCCCCAAAACAACCTTTGATCATTGTACAGGAACCGTCAAGACCATACACCATATGCTTAGATTAATTGAAGCCTTAGCTATACGAAAGTTTAAACCGCTTTGTGTATTCAAAAACAGTTTATCCTTACCTTAAACCTACCTTGGTAATCTTTATCTCATTTTAATGCCCAGGGAGGCATGAAAATGTATGATTATTCCTGATATGTAATCAACTAAATAATCTTTCAGTAATTTAAAACATAATCAAACGCTTATTGTTGATTAAAAAAAACACCAAGTTAACTCTTGTCTTTTAAAACTAACTTACTTCATTTTGTAACGGTAAACCAGCACTCTTGACTGGAGTTATCGAAGCACCGCCTGGATCACAACCAATACTAGTTATGCTACCTGATTCATATTCAATTGTAATACTTTGATGACCACCAGGAGTTAGGCCATTATCCAGTGTACGATCATGGATAGGGTGAGACTGACTATTAGGTACTGTATTACAGACACCACCACCACCAGCAACAACATTACTACTTGCACCACTTCCTGTACGACGTGTTAAACGTTTTAATGTTGCTGTTCGATGATATTCTAAAATAGCATGACGTGTAAAATTATAATCATCTATTGATGATTCCTCGATTGAATTATATCGATCACCATAGATATCTTCATTGTCTTCGTGAAATGCTTCATCTTCTGAGATTGGTTCACAAGCTGGTATTTGTTGATGATTAGTATTATACACACCACCACCACCACTATCGGCACCAGTTCCAGTAATCTGTTGTTTGGATTCATTTCCATTTTTCTTGAAATGTAGATTACTAAAATCTTTTATTGCTTTCACTGTAATAGTAGTACTTGTTGTAGAAGTTGTACTCATATCTCCATTTAACTGACTTTGATCATCTCTCTCCACAGAAGAATCTTTTACAATGATAACACGTGGTTGAGGTGTATCGTTTAAATTCAATTCAGATGTTGTTACTGGCATTGAATTGATAGTATTATTCTCTGAATACCATAATAAATCCCCATCTAAATCAATCGCATCACTAACTGTACCTCCTTGTGGTGTTAATGTTGTCGTCTGAGTGACATCATCGTCGTCATCATCATCAACAACAACACCAGGATGCTTTGGTGGATAACCTGATGATGATGTACCTGATGACTGTAGTGATTTTTTAGTCTGATTTGCATCTAACACATTGCTAGATATTGCACGTCGTCTAGCTAATGAATATTCAGACTCAATTAATTTACGATGTAATACACTTTCAGTTGGTTCACTACTCTCCCTATATGTCGTAAAACGTGATAGTAGCGGAACAAATTTATTCACAGCTTTAGCATGATTTGTTTTATTGTTAGTATCCGAAGTAACAGTTGTTGTTGTGTTTATACTACTTACAATATTAGCCGTAACAGTTGCTGTAGAAATAGTCCCAGTAGAATTGGTAATTGGTTGTATATTATTTATATATGGTTTGTCATGTGGTCTATTAACACGTTTATGTGTGGGTGATAACTGTGAATATGGATTGAGTATTTCAGATTGAGCCTGTTCCCATGCCTCTTGCCAACCAATGGCTTCTTCACCTTCACGTAATCCTAAGACGGCATATGTTTGTTCCTAAATATCGTGTGTGTGTGTGTGTGTGTGTGTGTGTGTGTGTGTGTGTGTGTGTGTGTGTGTGTGTGTGTGTGTGTGTGTGTGTGTGTGTGTGTGTGTGTGTGTGTGTGTGTGTGTGTGTGTGTGTGTGTGTGGAAAAAGGAAGAAGAAGAAGGAGGAGATAATTAATGATTATTTCAAACAACTGTAATTCATGCATGAATAAGAGCTGATAAAAACTTCTGTAAATTCTTCATCCTACACAAATGCATAGAATGTTGGCCTAATTGCACAATTTACAAACAAGTATTTAAAACAAAGGTTAAACTTGATGGCGGAAATTCAAATGAATACTGTATAATTATATATCCATTATAATATTGATCTTGATGACTAGCAGAGGAATCAAGGACGCTTTATTAATTGAGCTACGAGATACAGCTCCTGACGAGGATCAATACAGAGTCTGCGAAAACCAGGGCTATCTGAAATAGTTAGACTGATGATAAGTAGATTATCAAGTAATTCTTTGAACCGCGATGTTAAGCCTCTAAGTCTGGTGGTCACATTGTAAAAATGATCGAAAAAACTCGATCACCCCTTAGGACAACATGAAAGTGATTACTCTGCAGTAACTAATCAATGTAGTTTTGTGAATCTTCTCTAGAAGTTATTTTAACAACTACACATCCATGAGCGTATGTATGTACGTTGCAGAAACACTTAGACTCTGTCATGCATTTCCACTTACTAATTCAATTCACTGTTCAAAGTCTAGAAGTAGTTTACAGAGTAAGTTTTAAAATTGTCTCCATAATAAACTTGTTTATTCGATTTATAACACACAGTGACATAGTATTATTCCAAGCATATATTATTACCCTTCATAACCATATCAATTAATCACACTCCTCTCGACATCTAATTTCTACAGTACTGTCAACCACCTCATTTTCTTTCTTTTCATTCGTAGTAAAATTTTCCATATCCCTCAATAGATTTCGCATCATTCCTATTTCATGAGTTGGCTGCATGTTGATTCTATGAACAATGATTCAGTGGTCGATCTCTCTCCTCTCAACTTAATTAAATTGGATTTCAGGACAGTGGCTTTATGGATGGATTGAAGTAGCCAAGGTTTTTCTAGATTGTTGATTCCATTGGGACCTGTCATTCTATATTTTGCTAAATTCCTATGTTCCACTATTCTAAGTGACCCCGACCTATGTAATTGACCTCGCAGTCATTACATGGAAGTTGATAGATTCGATTATTTTGCTTAATTCGTTCTATCGGATCCTTAAGCCACCCGAAAAAGCTTATCTTGGAGTGGGTTTATAAGTTTAAATGACATCTTAATTCCAGATTTGTAGAGTATCCTACCTAAAGTTTCTAATGTACCTTCCTTACAGGGTAACACAACAGAGGCTATGAACTTATTTTTTACTTGTGCTGTCGTTATTATTCGTACTCGTGCGACTGTTATTTTTTCGTTTCTTGTGGGTTCGTACGAATTTTTTTAATAAACTTGTCTCCCAAATATCTGTTTATGATTATCAAACAGAATGTTTCTCTAACCTGTGTCTCATAAACAAGCCTATTCTGTGTATAGCTTACTGACAATATCATGATATTGAGACCGTTATACAGAAAAATATGAATTTAGCTTGAAAATCAACATTCCTCTACAAGACAATGAACAATACCTAAGTTGTTTTTTTTAAAAGCAGAATATATCGGGGAAAATTTTCGTAACTATTCACTGAAAACATTCAGGAGATAAAGTTGAGTGATGATTAAATCGATAAAGCAACTATTCATAGAGTACTAAAATGTCTGAGGGAATGATATAATGAAGATGAAGTCTCTCTATATACAATATATCAGTATGAAGGGTAACTATTGTAGTAGTTCCTTGTGAAACCAGCTAAATAACAAGTAATGTTAAGTAGTGTTAACAATCACGTATAGTTGAAAAACAACTGTAGACTTCAAACAGTCTAAAGCATATGAATTTTCTTATTCCCCTCCAATACACTGACTTTAGATGCAATGAATTCCGTGTATAATTGCTGTGTTGGTGTTACAAATATAAGCCATACAGTTGGTCGTCGATTCAACCGCTGTATAATAAGAGAAAAAGCAAAATCTGAGTGCTGCTTATTCTTCTAGGTTTGTGACCTGACTTATAGATACACTTCATACGATCATATGTTCACAACACACTACAATGCGTAGGAATGATTGAATGATTTCCTGTAATATACAGTCATTACTTAACTATGAGTTGTAAGTGCATTAACTAGAGGTCAATAAAAGGCTCTAGAGTCGAGTTGTACAAAAGTCCTTTTCTTCGATTGATACAACTAACTTAAAGTTTGAAAAGTGACTTTCATAAACACGAAACCATTCAAATACTTGGTGAGGAACTCTTATACAGAGATTACTGTCAAGTAGACACTAACTAACGATAATTTTCATAGTTTCGATAGTATAGCGTTTGAAGCAATTGGTCCTAGCTTCCAGTCTTGAGGAGAAAAATCACTGAGATGCAGAAATATTCAGTTGACGAGTCCCCAATGATAAAGAAAAACCCGTCCTGAGTTCCACTGCTAGCTTAAACAACACACGTTGCAAATCAACAAAAATTATTATTATTATTTATCTCTTGGATTCATAGTGCAACATACGGATTCATTAGCACGTCACCATTTCACTGTCTCCTCACCAGTATTTTCAACCTGCCTCCAACACTCCCCATAAACTTTCATTTCTTCCTCATACCATATCCTCAATTTCAACCTCACCTAGGACGCCCAACTCGTCATCTCCCATTCCCCTGACACTCAATGACCTGGTATGGCATACTGTGTGATGTCCCGAAATCTTCATTTCAGTCTACATCCAATTCGATCCAATCCATCTCCACTCTCTTCTACTGCATATTTGTTGGGTGACAAGTTCTTGATCGGTTGGTTCGTTGCCAGCCACCCAGCCAGCCACAGTTCCTCCTTGCTTATTCCTGCTTATTATTCTCGACATCTCATCTCCACTCCATCTTCACTATCGAATGAGCGTAGTCGATGGCTGTTCATGATGTATGTGTACAGTTTGTTGGAAATGATTTCGTAACACATCAAGTCTCTCAACCATCACATAGAAGCAAGCACTGATTGACTTGAATGAATTAGTGTTGAAAATCTGTGTCTTGTTCACGCTTTATGCTGAGTGAAGTGCAGTAGATCTCCACACTGATTATTTCAGATTAATGCAGGAAGGCCTGTCTTGCTGTCTTTCCGATCCTGGCTGCTTTGACATCGTCGTCGATGCCACCACCGTCTGTAGTTGAGACGATGCTGCCCTGCCCTGCTCTGCCCTGTCTAGGCTAGGTAGGTGTAGGTGAAAGAGACAACTTCCTTTAGATTTCTCCCACTGATGGTGATTGGTGCTTGTTGTTGTTGTTGGTTGGGTATCTTCATCACCTCTAACTTCTCTACGTTCACCTGAAGGAGGTCCCCTCTTCCTTTCCTGTCGTGCCCTGCACTGCCTCGCCTCTTTCCTGCCAACTTGTTGGTTTTCACCTGTACATCTTCGAGTTTGTGTGACAAGGCATTAGACATCAATCATCATCGCTGGCAAAATCCAAATCTTCTAGGGTCTTTTCATTGGTCAAATAGCGTATGCCTATCTCCTCACAGTCCCTCACACTTTGTTGTATGATCCAGTCCAGTCCAGTTGATCACAATCAGAAGATCATCTGTGATAGCAGGCAACCTTAAATCGATAACAATATCTGATATAAAATAAACAGTGAAAAATTACCACCAAAATGACTAACTATGTGACTGTTATTAAATCCTTGTCGTAGAACAGGTTCATATGGGCGATTCGTATGTTTACGATAACTCGGTGAAAAGTGATCCAGATCGTAAATCGGACCAAAAGCCAAATCTTCAGTCAAATAAAACTGCCATAAATCTAATGACGCCAAATTTGTTGCTGGTCTTAGAACCTAGGATTTGATGCACAGAAAAAGAGAAGGAAATTGATAAGGCACAAAAAATCGAAGAAGGTTAGTAACATGAACAATTACAGATATGCCTTAGTGACAAATGTCAACAAACCAGGTCCACAGGGCTTGCTGTCGATTGGCTTAAACCAACCAACATCTACCAATGTGTACCGCGATGCTGAGCCTCCTAGCTTGGTGACCAAATTGCAAATATGATCGCTAGAGTTCGGTCAGTACTCAGGACTAGACAACACGAAATTGGTTGTTCTCCTGTCTTCAATCAATGTGCAGGTCGATTGAATCTGGCGGTTTGTGGGGATTTAGAGATATTTTAAGTTGGTTTTCATCATGGTTTGACATCAGTTGGAGGAATATTGGAAACCTAGGAACACTGCGTAGCCGTTTCATCCTAGTATGGGACTCTTCAGCAGTGCGCACCCACAAACCTCCCAAATTCAGTTGAACTAGTGGTCACTGGTAACTAGCTTCGAGAGGTGATTCCTGGAGTTCCAATGAGAAGTGACTAGTGGGGCGACCCGGTGGTCGGGAGGACAAATACTCAACGGTGACACTGGGTGTTGGTCGCGGTATGTAGTGAACTGACAGGAGTTAGAAATATGGACCACTGGATTCCGACCCAGTGGCTCGAAGGTAACGTGCTGGTCGCGGAACTTGAAGGTTGCTGGTCCGATCCCAGGCGTGTTCGCGTATGCGTGCTGCTGAAAAGTCGCACACTAGGACGAAGTAACTGTCCAGTGCTCCCAGGTTCCCAATGTTCTTCCAACCGATGTTAGTCCATGATGAAAAACATTTTCTTTTAAATGTACATTCTACACTACTGAATAATCTTGAGCAGAATTCAGTAGTCAGGTTAGGATTTAATCACTTTTCTTTTACAGCAACATTCAAACAAGGTGAATAGAAGTAATCAGCTTTTTTTTTGTTTGCTTAGAAACACTGTAAAACTTGACAATACTCATAAAATCACTTTGCCTGAACAGAAATCTACATATATGTGAATCTATTCAAACTATCACCAGGGGCGTAAAAGTGACTTTGGTATAGAAGTTGAAACACACTGAGCTGAACTATATTGACTAGTAAAATTCTTGACAATCTAAAGACAATACTACACTATCCATGGGTATATGAAATTCAATGATTACTGTATTGGTAGCAGAAACGCATAAAGGTTCAATTAACAAGAAGGTAATGTCTATGTATTTTAGAGTTCCGTAGATAGTTGAGAATGTTACATTAATCGAAATTGTAATGTATATAGTGGCGTTCTATGAGAATTCGCTGCCCACCGACTCTTCGAATCGAAATACGAGATAACAGCGACTACAAATTTCTAACTATAAAACAATTTGGCATACAATTAACAATAATAAAAATTATTCAATCAACACTGAATAAAGCTTTGTAAAACATAATACCTTATCGTAAAATAATTATATAATTTCTAATTGATTACCTTTTCTCCTAGTGTACGTGAATAACGAAAATTGAAAAATACTGGCCATTCATAATGTTGTTGTTGAATAAATGGCCATATAGAACGTGAACGATATAATTCCAAGAGATGTTCATCTATATTCGATACAATACTTGTACCAAGTTTATAATTATTAGCTAAACTTTCCACAAGATCAGGGAACCATGCAGTAAATTTTTCCAATTCTGAATCATATTTAAAATTATGAAAACGATTTGATACATGATGATAGGCTAAAAATCGTAAATAATAATCATTGAATTCAAAAGCTAAAGGAAATTGTCTTAATAATTGATGTACAGCATCTAGGAATTGTAAAAATATTGGTGATATACTACCAGATTTTGTTGAAAGAGTTTGATTTAAATTCTGATTGAATGTATGCCCAAATATTAACCATTCTTTGTCAATTAAACTCCAAAAGCCTGCTATTGTTCGATAGTATGGATCTAGCATTACTTGAACAAGTGAAACCGTCTAAACAAAGAGACAGAGAGAGAGAGAGAGAAAAAAAATAACATATTACCAGCTGAATATATAGACAGACGACAGTTAACAATTGATGCATTTCATGGGATTATATATCTATAAATGTTAGAATAGCTCACAACCAATGCCAATACTGATGATTATATAGTTGGTGAAAACTAACCAGTTGGTAGAAGAGGTGAGGCAGTGAAGACGTGACTTCCTTCAAGTGAACGTAGAAAAGTTAGAGGTGATGAGGATACCCAATCAAACAACAACAAGCGCTAATCACCATGAGTGGGAGAAATCTAAAGGAAGTTGTCTCTTTCACCTACACCTACCTAGCCTAGCCTAGCCCAGGCAGGGCAGGGCAGCATCGTCTCAACTACAGATGGTGGTGGCATCGACGACGATGTCAAAGCAGCCAGGATCGGAAAGACAGCAAGACAGACCTCCCTGCATTAATCTGAAATAATCAGTGTGGAGATCTACTGCACTTTACTCCATTCCACTGCACTGCACTCCACTCCACTCAACATAAAGCGTGAACAAGACCCGGATTTTCAACACTAATTCAGTCAAGTCAATCAGTGCTTGCTTCCATGTGATGGTTGAGAGACTTGATGTGTTACGAAAGCATTTCCAACAAACTGTACACATACATCATGAACAGCCATCGACTACGCTCATTCGATAGTGAAGATGGAGTGGAGATGAGATGTCGAGAATAATAAGCAGGAATAAGCAAGGAGGAACTGTGGCTGGCTGGGTGGCTGGTTGGCAACGTACCAACCAATTAAGAACCTATCACCCAACAAATATGCAGTAGAAGAGAGTGGTGATGCATTGGAATGGACATAGATTGAGGAGATGGTTTGAGGATTTCACGCAGCATGTCAGACCAGGTCGTTGAGTGTAAGGGGAATGGGAGACAACAAGTTGGGCGTCCCAGGTGAGGGTGACATAGAGGAGATTGTGTGAGGAAGAAATGAAAGGTTATGGTTCATATTGTGTTTTTCTAACATTAGAAAACAACTAGTTTCGATTATAGATATGTTCTAGAATAAGCGTTTAGGAGTTTTAGATCGTTTGCAGTAACACGCGTTAATACTCCTGTGAAACTAATGAAATTGTGTGTATGTGTACGTGTTTCAAAGATAAGAAATACCATACAAAGTTACTCGCAATTATGTCTTATGGCAGCTGTGGATAGTAATTGTGAATAGTTCACTGCAAAATGAGGAAAATGTCATAATTTCAAATTGGAATTTATCATGCGTTGATATCAGTTGGAGAAATACTGGAAACCCAGGAGGAGTGACAGATATTTCGTCCAAGTACAAGACTCCTCAACAGTGTACACCCATGACCCCGTGCATCAGGGGTTGAACCCGGGACCTTCAGATTCCGCGGCCAGCACGTTACCATTGAGCCACTGGGTCGGGATCCAATCTCCCATATTTCCTACTCGTGTAAGCACATGATATGACAAAATTTCCATCCAGTGCTATCGTAGATGAACTGTCCTCATGTCTGACTTGGTTAGTCCAATCGGTTACGACTTCTCATTAGAAATTGGGTGATCACCTCTCGAAGCAATTTACTAGTGAACATTAGATTAATCCAATTCGGAGGTTTGTGGGGATTTATCTATTGATTTCAGGTTGGAATTCATCATGGGATGACATCAATTGGAGAAACATTGGAAACCTGGAAGGACCGGGTTTAGTTGTTTCATCCCAGTATGGGACTCCTTAACAGTGCATACCGATGACTCTGGCAAAAACCTTCAAATTGAAATAGCATAACAAGTAGTTATCTTAGTAAGACCATGTACAACGAGTCTTTTTTTCTACAGTCAAGAGTATCACCTTTCTTAAATGTTCGAAGCAATAAGGAGAGGACTATGTCATCTTTCAAACCTAGGCACACTGATAACAATTACGTCATTTAATTACACCTTTTCCTACTTAAATCCTCTCAAAATTCTCAATCGACTTACCAATTGTACATTTAAGTATATGAAACCTACTAGTAATCAAAAGATTTAACCGCATACAGTTAGTAGTAGTCACTAATCTTCACAGCTTATATCAAATTGAATAAAAGGCATCATCATATGAAGAAAAATAGTCAAAACAATAATAAGGACTATGGTGCAACTTGTTAATTTACCTGAGCTACAACATCACTACCATTTTCTAGGCATAATGCTACACTAGCACCTTGTAAATCTAATAAATCCACAACAGTACCAGCTAATTCCAATAACGATTTCAATTGTGTAAACCAACCATTCTCATGAGCTTCAATGAATACATTCAATAATTTCGCAGTAGTTGTATTTGTTGTTAACGATGTTGTGATATTCTCTGTTTCTGTCTGCTCTCCATTAACAATACCACTATTAGTATTATTACTTTGTGAATGATTATGATTAAAGTGAGATGCTGCCATTGTTCCACTATTACTATGCATGTTAGTAGCGTTACCACCACCAGATGTATGATCTAATGGAATACCAGCTGTATTAGCTGCTGCAGATAAAATTTTTGTAGATGTTTTTGATCGATTTGAATCATTAGGTAGGCATGCTTTAAAAAATCCTTTAAAACATTTATTCACTGATGATACTGATGGATAGTCGATTGGTGATAACAGAACGGATGATGAATTAAATATTTTTGACATCTATAAAAAACCATTTAAAGAAGAGAAAAACCAAAAAGAAAAAAAAGATAAAGAAGTAAAAGTAAAGTAAAAAAAGTAATCATTAAAAATTCCAATTATAATTAAAAAGTCATTTGATTGAACAATGAATATTCCTTTCGATAACTTCCACTTCTTCTTCTTCTTCTTCAGGTTCTACTATGATATCTACATATTGAGATTTCGCTCATCATTTTGTTATCAATAATATTCTACAGTTGAGGAAGTCAATTGAGACACGTCCTATGTTGACGTGAATGATAGAACCAATTGTTACTGGAATTCAACTCGAAATGGTTAATTATCTAGACGATACCTATATAGCTATAGAACAATAAGGTGGTATATGAAGCAAATTAAGAAAGATAATTTGAGGAATAACAGCTTGATAGAATGTTACTCATGTTAAGGGACAAAATAGATTACCAGCGATAGGATGTTATAGAATTTATGTGTCTCGAATCAGGCCACCATAGCTGTAGTGGCAACTTTTGCTTTTTGTTTTTTTGAACACATAATTCTGGTCGTTTGATTCTAATTGTTTAGTCTGAAGGATGAGAATCCGGTACAGAATGGAAAACGACATATTCATTTCCACCTTATGATTCCTTTTAGACAAGTTATGTTGGCCGCTACTATAGGAATTCAATTTTCCGTGCTCATAAACACCTCCCAGAATGATTCAGTAACTGTATAGTGAAGACCATTACTAGCTCCTTATTAGCACACTTGGTTGAAACGAACTATAAGGTGGATATGAAAAAGTCGTTTTCCATTATATATCGGGGTTCCTATCAACTGGTTAAAACGTACCCAACTTCGAATCTTTCAGACTGAATAAGCAGTAGCAATCAGGATGAAACAACCGGAATAAGGTGTTCAACACATCAAGTGTTGCCATGGCCTCACTTTGGACGCACCAATTTTCGAATTCTATACTGCAGATATCGCTTCATCCTTATGATCTGAAATAATTTCAACACATTCTCCTAATCAATTTTTGCCCCCAACATGAGTAACATTATATCAAGCCATCATTCTTCAAATTATCCTTCTTAGTTTGTTTCATTCAGCTCTCATAGACACTTCCTTATTGTTTGAATAAACTACCTCATAGCATTATCTGGACTGCGGAAAAGAATCTAGAAGATTTGGATTTTGCCAATCATGATATATGTCTAATGTCTTGTGGCACAAACTTGAAGATCTACAGGCAAAAACTAACAAGTTGATAGAAGAGGCAGAGAAGACGGGACTTCAGGTGAATATAAAGAAGACAGAAGTGATGAAGATACCGCACCAACAACTCCAATAACAACAACAAACTCCAATCACCATCAACGGGAGGAACCTAAAGGAAGTAACCTCCTTCACCTATCTAGGAAGCACTGTTTCAACTACAGGCGGCACAGATGAGGATGTCAAAGTCAGAATCAGAAAAGCAATACAGGCGTTCATTAGCCTGAAACCAGTGTGGAGATCTTCTGCACTCAGCATAAAGCGTGAACAACATCCGGATTTTTAACACCAACTCAGTCAAGTCAGTGCTTCTGTATGGTTCAGAGACTTGGCGCGTTACGAAAGGCATTTCCAATAAACTACAGACATTCATCAACAACTGCTTACGCTACCTCGCTACTGAAGATCAGATGGATTGCCAGAAAGAAGGAGCTCTGGGAACGAACCAACCAAGAACCTATCACGCAACAAATATGCAGAAGGAAGTGGAGGTGGATTGGGCATACACTGAGAAGGCCGACTGGGTACATCACGCGTCAGGCCAGACACTCGGGTGGAATCCTCATGGGAAGCGACGAGTTGGACGTCCGAGGGTGACATGGAGGAGATCGTGCGAAGAGGAAATGAGAGGTTGTGGGCTGTCTTGGAGTTCACTGGAGACGTGCTACTGAAGCCCTATGTTCCATTAGGAACCCAAGGGACTAATAATAATAATAATAATAATAATAATAATAATAATAGCATTATCTACATCGTATGATAGTTTAGATAATCAATTATTTCCAGTAACAATTGGTTCTATCATTCACGTCAACATAGGACGTGTCTCAATTGACTTCCTCAACTGTATAATATTAATGATAACAAAATGATGAGCGAAATCTCAGTATGTAGATATCACAGTAGAACCTGAAGAAGAAGTTATCGGAAGGAATATTCTTTGTTCACTAGAATGAATCAATAACAATAATGATGCTAATAATTTTTATATCATAATAGTGGAGGAGGGATCATTTCAATAACTAAAAATGATGAAACAATTGTACAAAAAGATTCATTAAACCCAACTGAAATACACGTTAACTTGACAAGTGAACAAGTTGAGTATTACAAAATAATCCAAAACAATTTGACTGTAAATGTAATCTAGTTAAATGTAATTTGATGATCGAGACTTAGTATCAGTTAGCTCAATTGGAAGAAAGGATATAAATCTAATGAAAATCACTTTAAACACCACATTAGAGTGGAAATAGAAACGATGACTGACTAAAAAAAATAATAAACGTAGAACGTCGCACACAGATATATCGACTCAAGTAACCATATTTCGCTTTAGCAAACAAAGAATAAGTGGATAGAAAAATACTGATATAAAAGTAGATGAAGTTCTGTGACAGAATAGACAATTTGAAGAAGGCGTCATCTGCTCCATTGTCACCGATTTTCACCCATGTCACCAACAGTCCCCAACTACTGATTCCTATTGTCTCGGGAACCCCAACCAGACAATCTATATCTCCCAACACAGTTCAGACCAATACTAAGAGACTTCATCAATTTATGTAGTGTCTTTGTTTGATCACTTTGAACTTTCTTCCAACTTAGTCTAACTTCCCGTAGCATGGCACGTCAAGGTAGGCGGTGGCTTGGTATGTCCAAGCCACCTCGTTCGATGCTGACTTATAACCTCATCAATCGACTTGTCATTTCTTGCCCAGTACCCTTCGTCTGACCTCAACAATGATAGTGTGCAACTAAACAATCATTTGCAGACTGTCAGTAGAACTTATTATTCCACATATTTGAACTAAAGGTAGAGGGCAATTCATACGTGTGATAAAATAATTATAACAAGAGTATTTAAATAGGTGAGGCGAAAATTCATAAGGTATTCACCGAAGATGACGAATTTCATTAGTACTCAACTATGCATGTTGTTAAGCAATCCTGCACTAAATTGAATCTGCTGTCATATTCAAGAAAGCATAAAATATTTTTGATAGCTCTCAAGGTAGTATTCATCATGAAGTGACATCAATTTGAGAACCATTGAAAACCTGAGAGTATCAGATAATTGTTTCTTTGCAGTATGCATCTCCAAAGCTGTATGTCCTTACTACCATAGCACGGGTCGAACCTAGGGCCATTGGATTTCACAGTGGCTATGATACCATTCAGTTTTCAGGTGGGGAATCAATGGTTTACATTTTCCTACATCTGTGAATCTTGCTATATAGTGCAATAATCATTCATCCTTACACTTAACCTGGTTTATTCCAAAGGTTACAGCTTCTTCACTAGAACTTCAAGGGGGAAATCTCATCTCCAACCATATCCTTATCAAGCACTAAACAGTGATTTTATTTGATAATGATGGATAGTGACTAGAAGAGGAATCTACGATGGGCATTTCGTCCTATTTGGGACTCGCCCGCTGGGGTTTGAAGTGATCGCTCCCGAGTCCAAGTCACGGTGGGAACAACATCACTCTCACTGGGAGGCAGGTACATCCCGTTGATTAGTGAGTCCCAAATAGGACGAAATGCACATCCTGGATTCCACTGCCAGCCACTATCCATCATTACTATAATTAGAACACAGGTAATATCGAGGCATTCGCACAGGAGCCCATAAGCCAATAGAGACCGATCATTTCGGTCCAATCAACGACGGTATAATACAAGGAATTATACTAAAGTGATTTAATTTGCTTGTATAGAAAATAAGTAATAAGGAAAGCGTAATGAGAAGACGAAGGTTATCTGAAACATGTGATGTATTAGCGCTACCAACGTAGGTTCAACGTGAGTATCTACCTTGGTAGTATTGATTTTAATTTTCATACCAAGAATAAGGTTTTCCTTTGTTTTTTTTCTATCCCTTCCTATTCCTATGTTTCCCATTAACTTCATTGACCTTTTCGTAAATTTTCATATAAATAGTTCGACAAGTCCATGTGTGATCAGATTGTTCGAAATGTATAGCGCTAATACATCACATGTTTCAGATAATCTTCGTCTTCTCATTACGCTGTTTAAATTTATCAAAGGGACCAGTTGCTTTAAATAAGGAAAGCAGCTATGATAGTCAAAACATGGTAACAATTCAAACCATATAGTGGTTTGAAAACTTAAAAAATCAAAAGTATTTTATGATTGAACACTCAATGTAATGGCGTTCATTTATTATGAGATACCTGATAACATTCTACCTAGTGTTAAAGGAAATCGAGAGATGCATTTTCATTCACTTTAATCTTTCTAGTTAACAGCATCTATTGAAAAAAAAAAAAAAGAAAAATGATTTAAACTGACCTTTGTCATTTGTTTTTCACACAGAATATACAATGAGATTGGTCGATTAGAATATGATATACCACTGGGAATTGGACCAGGAACACCGACAGAATTTGTATCATATATAGACTGACGTGAATTGTTCGGTGGATTACTATTTTGTGATGCACTATCCATACTGATCAAATCTTCGTCTAAACCGGATGCTATACTACCCATTGGAGAAAGACCTGAACGTGCTAAACGACGACGTGCAGCGAACATTCCAATTCTACCTAAAGCTAGAGGAGAAGAATGGATGAACAAAGCAATATGAACGAAGAAAAGAAACACAGGATAGAATTAGTAGAATATAATATTGAACAGTAATTGAATAGTAGTTGCAAACGTTCTCAGATCGATACGTATATCAATAGATGAGTTAAATAATTGAAGACGAGATACGTTTAACGCTAAGAAACAGATCCCTTTTTAATTTGGAGGTTTGTGGGAATTTATTGATTTGAAATTGGTATTCATCAAGGACCGACAATAGCTGGAGGAACATTGGAAACTTGGGAGCTCTGGACAGTTGTTTCTTCCTAGTATGAGACTCCTTGGGATGAGTGTATACCCATGGCCCAACCACGGATCGAAACCAGGACCTTGAAGTTCCTACTTCTAACAGACTCTGACCCATTGGGTGAGTGTTAACGTACTGGCCGCGAAGTCTGAAGTTCACAGGTTCGATCTCTGGTGGGGTCATAGGTGCGCGTTGATGAGGAGTCCTATATTGAGACGAAACGTTTGTCCAATGCTCCCAGGTTTCCGATGTTTCTCCAACTAATGTCAGTCCATGATGAATACTACTGGCATAAAGGATGACCTTCTAGTTACAATACACGAACTAAACATGGTTACAACAGTTGACAATTTCAGCAAGCCAACAAGCCTGAAACCTGGGTCCAGGACGTCCTGTTGATTGCCTCCAACCAACTAAAATCTATTGAAGAGAACCACGATGCTGAGCCTCCAAGCTTGGTAACCACATTGCAAAATGGTCGATAGAATTTGGTCAACAGCCAGGACTAGATAAAATGAGATTGATTGCTCTCCAGTGATCAATCAATGTAAATAACACTACTGTTTTTTAAACCAGTTCACATGTGTGGAAAACACCAGAGTGCTCTTTAACTCAACCACGGTTAATATATTTACCAAAAACTGTACAAGGTCTGGAAGGCATCATAGGCTTGGTACTTCCTCTAAATATGACTTCATGGAGTTTTAAAACCCAATGTTGAAATGTTCCCAGGCCAAATACCAAAATACATAGAACGCACAACTGAATGGAGATTAAATTTGAGGGTGTGTGGGATTTAGAGATTTTTCAAGTTGATATTCATCATGAACTGACATCAGTTGAAGGAATATTGGAAACCTGGGAGCACTGGACAGCTGTTCCGTTCTAGCATGGGACTCTTCAGTAGTGCACGCCCACGACCTCGCCTGGTGGTTGCCGGTCCGAATTCAGCCGTGGTCCAAATTTTCATTCCACCTTCAGTCATCACACAGTATAAATACTAGTCTGCCAAACTACAGCTATCTTAGATAGTCAAATGACAATTAATATACATAATTAGGACAGGCAATATCAAGGGGTCTGTGCTATAGCCCAATATGCCAATAGAGACCGGTCAATTCGACCCAATCAACGACAGGATAATACCCGTCACATAAGAAGTGGTTGTCGTGGCTCGGTGGTCTAGTGGATAATGCTCTGATGCTTGAAGCGACCGGTACCGAGTTCGGATTCCAGTAAGAACATCACTCACTGGGAGGCAGGTACATCCAGCTGACGAGTCCCAAATAGGACGAAATGCGCATCCTGGATTCCACTGCTAGCCACTATCCATCATTAATGTAATGGATATTGTTTCAGTCAAATTCTCAGTCTTTATAACGAAATTCTAGTAGCCAGCATCTCATATGTGATAATTATTGTTGATTAACAGTAGGCCATGTTGCATAATGTTACACATACACATACATACACACACACACATACGCATACACATACACTTATAGGAATAGCAAACAACAGCCGATAACTTCAAAAAGATTGTGGTTATGCAGGAGCACATTGAAAGCACTAATATAACAGACAAGGATTAGACTTAGAAAGTGATGAGCTTTGAAATCGTCACCTATACCAGATCTCTTTATTTGTTAACACTTTTCTCTCTTCGAGTGTGCACCCATAAACGCATCACCGGGTGATGCAGCCGCTTCTCCATCTGTCGACAGCTCCATTTCGACTCTTCTAATGCCAATACTGTCATGAAGTCGACTCAACTTTATGCCTCCTCATTTTGTCTTACCACTACAGTTAGTATACCACTACTATGTTGCTTTCCCATTATCCTTATTTGTGAAGTTCTCTGTTCCTTTCACTAACTATACGATTTAAGCATATCGGAGTTCTTTTGTCTCCCTTGAGTTTTCTTAGATTTTCTTCTCTCCTTTCATTTTGAGGTTTATGCAAGCATTCTAGTTGAGTAGCTTTTATTAGTCGCGACAGTAGAAATCTCTGTGAAGATCTAATTTCTCGTTGAAAGCGTTCACCGAGAGAGCAGCTACCACAAGCCCTTAGAAATAAGTTCCAGTTGTTGACCACTCTTTGAGAGAATCTGAGTTCCACCTGGAGTTTATCTGAATGTCGCTTTTGAAATTTCTTATGGTGACCTCTTGGATGTAAAAGATTCGAGAGATCAACACCCAAGTCACCCCTCTTCTTTAGATCTGATGGTAGTAAAAGATTCAGACTTTCCAATCAGTTTTTATAAGAAAGATACGAAAATCCTATCATTAGCTTTGTACGGATTCTAGTGTCTGCTTCCATGACTGGGGTTCCCGAGAAGACAGGAATCAATAGTTGGCAACTCTTGGTGACACGGTTGAAAATCGGTCACATTAGTGCAGATTTATTCAGTCCTTGACATGTTCTGTATCTTGAATATTTTCACCAACTGTTATCTTCCAATCGTTTATTCTCTTACACAACTTTATCTTCTTTGAAATCGCTCTTTTTCTAGTCACCTGCTTTTTGTATTATACTGTAAAATTTGGCGATTTGAACCGATGCACTAATGTGCGATTTTGTCTCTTGTCTGTTTATCTCTACACGGAAAAATTTGAAACAGTCTATCAAAATCTTATGACTAGGATAGGCTAAGCGATTTGGAAGGTGAACATGGGAATTTATTCATTTACATGACAGCTAATTATTTACGACGAAGGATCGTCTATTCGCTAGAAGGGAATCAAATCAATATATAATTTATGACAGTGTAAATGATTTCATGTACCTAAGAAGAAGAATGTTTTCTTCGCCAAGTTTCACACAATGTCAAAGTTTACTGAAGACTACCTCAAAGCTGTTAACATAGTTGAAAGTTATAAAGTTTAGCTGAAACACAATGTGTAATAGATGTCATACCAAAAATATGTTAGGGAAAGAGGGAACCACAACCAGAGAAATCTAAACATAATGAGTAATCAGGAAAAATCGACGCCAACAGAGATCAAACAATTCCACCCAATATGATAACAGGATACTACAAGTATCAACAGATAAGAGTCTCATCAATCGCAATTGATAGACATTGAGCAAGCGATAAAAATCAGAATAGAATAACAATGAAATCATAAAAACACAGAAGAGTAACAGCGACAACAAAATATAAATTTGGCTGACACATAACTAATCAAAATATTGATTAACAACAACAACAATCGGGGAACAGGACCACAAAATAGCTGTTGCACGACAATAATAATAATACAACACAACATTACACACACAAATCGATCAAGTAAACAACTAATCAATGAGGGATACTTATTTTTTCATGTTGGTATTCACTATGAACTGATATCATATCCTGACCCAGCCAGGAATCATGGGTTCGACCCCCTGACGGGATCATGGATACACACTGTTGAGGACTCCTATACCAGGACGAAACAGCTGTTCAAACCTCCCAGGTTTTCAATGTTTCTCCAACTGATGTCAGTCTATGATCAATACCAACCAGAAATCAATAAATAAATCCCCATAAACCTTCAAACTAACTTAATATTTCAGCAAGACAACTTTTGCTAGATATATAATGTACATAAAGTAGTCAAAATGTTAGTACAAGCAGCAAAAGACATTAAGTAAAAGCATAGAGCTAAGTTGAATGAACTGATAACTCAACATGTGTATGTGAGAATGTAATTGTGAAATTGAGAATAGCACTAGTAAAAGGTTATATATATATATATATATATATATATATATATGTTCACTGAACTTCTTACACTTTATTCTTACTGATATAAATCATATTTCAAATGAATACTATTACTACTACTACTACTACTACTACAAGAGAATCAAGAAATACACAGATAAACAAAAGTTTTATCCAATAGTAGATGACTTTTTTGGCGGTCATTTAAAAATGAAATCAAGTAAGTGAGAATGAATTATCATTTGTGTAATTATGCATTGAAATCAACAGAACAGAGAAAATTAAATGAATCTTACCCTCACGAACTGAAATAAACAAAGGAGGATGAAAATCATTAAAAAGTTGAGTAATTAAACCAGGAATGACGAATATTATTATGGGTGAATATACATACATGTATGTTGAGGTAAATCCCTATTACTTACTATTCTATTACACCAAATTACATTAACATTCTTCTTATCATTACGGTGACTACAATACCTCTCTTCCCTACTTTTTAGATAACACATTATACAACGTCTTCAAAGGTGTCAACTATAGAAGAAGTCATGGTGAACTGATAGTTCCTAATATGTGATACATTTGTGACGAGAACAAACTGTACACAAACAACTCTTGTACATAGTGTATAGATGGTGTAAGACTGTGTTGGACAGTGTTTCTGATGTTTTTTCATGCTAGACAAGTTTGATCTGTCATTTACCATAATCACGTAGTTGAATGAATAGACAACACCAATCACTTGTTCAGACAAACATTTATTTCTGGTCAGTATGAACTCCGATATGGCGGGCACTAACTTCAACTCAGAGGTGGACGCAGATAGACCATATTGCTACCAATTATTGCTGGAGAGGGTCGGTGGGAGACTGCCGCTACTTTTGGATCACATATTTCGGCCTGAGTTGTCGCAATATTAGCTGAAGTAGATTTAGGCTCCCAAAAAATGTACTAATGAACATAACCTTAGGCACCTATAACTTCACAGGGATTGATCTACT